AAGTTGTTGATGAACATTTATGATTAACCAAAACTCGTTCATTAGAATTAGACTCTAATTTACAACCAGAGTAAATAAGAACACACAAATTGGTTGTATAGTGTAGTGGTTATCACTTTCGGTTTTGATCCGGACAACCCCGGTTCGAATCCGGGTACGACCTTCTTTTTTGCTTTTGGTGTAAAAACCCGGGGTTTTTTTTGATTTCACTATAATGAAGCTTCTTTTAGATGATAATTTTGTTGGTGATTCCTTTACCAATGTTATTAAGACAGTTCCCCCCACTAAATCATGCTTATAAGTTGTGATTTTCGGTGTTTAAATCAGTAATATTGTGACGAAAAAACAATAAATGTTGTTCCTACCACACGCAAGCACCTTCCTAATTCATCAAATAGTCATCAAAATAGTCGTATTAAATAACTTATAAAGTACGACAGTACGACGTTTAAATTAAATTAATTTTGATGAACTCGTTCATCTTTTAATTTCTAAGCATTGACTTACCATGTTAGAAACTTGAACTAGACATTTTACATTGGATTCAGAAAAGAAGCTTGTGGTGGTAAATTGGAAGACAAGGATGGTTTTAAATAATAATAAAGGGTCCTCAGTTGCAGGTAAAGAAGGTAAAATAAAAAGAACAAGATCAAGGTTTGGTTGTCATAATTGTAAACGATTAAAAGTTAAATGTGATGAAACAAAACCTTCATGTCTGTTATGTCAGAAATCAAACAAGAAATGTGATTATTCAGTTCAGCTCACTTGGGGTGGTAGGCCATATAAGAAGAAGAAAGTTAATGGGTATGGATTTGCTACTGTTGATACTTTTACAAAAGATCAAGGAATTAAGACATCAGATTCAACTCTATTGAGTTCAAAGGATGGGAAATTAAATAATAATAATAATTATGGTCAAATAACACTTGATTTTTCAGATAAACCAATATCGACTGAAGTCTCAAACAATAAAATAAGTCCAGTTACCCCGGATAGTATTACAAATATTAAAACTCCAGATCAAATATTTGATTATGATAATACTCATATTGAAAATCAATTTGATTTTAATCCTGATTTGTTAGTATTTCAAAGTTCTGGTGCTATTAATACTTTGGATTTTGAGAATTCTAAAGTATTTGAAGAAATGCAAACAACAAATGTGGCAGCTAAAGACTTTTTAAATGATTTTATATTACCAGATTTAGATGTTTTAACAAATGACCTTCAATCTTCAACTTATTTAACTGAATTAAATCCAAGAATTCAAGAACTAGAACAAAATCATGAAAATTTAATTGATGAAGAAAGTTTAATGTCTAGAAATATGTTTTCAAATATATCACAATCTTCTTCTTCAAATACAAATTTAACTAACTATAAGTTCTCTGATGAATTAACAGAAGAAGAGAAAAAATTATTAACAGGATTTGAATTTGTTCCATATTCATTTCTTCCATTACCTGATATGCTTTTAAAAGCACCATATTTTAGAGAAAATTTCCATATATTTGTGGAAATTGTATCAGTTACAATTGTTGTTGCTCCACCTGTGATTTATGAAAATAATCCAGTTAAAAAAATTCTTCCTCAAATGGCTTTATCATCATATTCAGATGGTATGCTTGCCCTATTGGTTGCTACTGGGATAATGCAAAGTTGTGTTTATCGTGGTGAACAACATCCCAAAGGTATAGTTAATATGTTATTAAGGAAATCTTTAAATGATTTATATAATCGTCTTACAGATGTTAATGAAGCAAATTCAGATTATACATTAGCTTTAGTTATGATGTTGGCATGTTTTGAATCAATTTTTAGTGAATGTAAAGATTGGAGATCTCATCATAATGGTGCTAAAAATATTATATTGGCAAGAGGAATTATAAAAACTCGGAAGGATGAATTAAATAATAATAAGAATAATAATAAGATTAATAAAAAATTTGTTACATTAGGTCCTGGTGATGAAAATGATATTGTGTTTTTCCTTGCTCGTTGGTTTGCTTATGTTGATGTTATTGGTTCATTATCTTCATCATTAAAATTTTCAACACCTACTGAACAAGATAATCAATTATTATGGGAAGCTCATGATATTACTAAGAAAGATATCTTAGAATTAAAAGATATTGATCCATTATCTGGTTTAGATTATAGATTATTAAGTCATCTTTCCAAAATTTTATCATTAGTTAAAGAACGTGAATCTTTTCATAAAGGAAAGCAAAATGCCATATCAGAAGAACCATCAATAACAGAACGAGCGTTAGAAGTTAAAGAAGATTTATTAGAATGTCTTGAAACTTTTGAAAATGAACGAAACAAGGTCATAGAACAAGTTATCATAAGACAAGACCCTGCTAAATTAATTAAATTAAAAGGATATGAAACAATGAGAGCTGTTAATAGAGCACTTATCTATGCAGGTGTAATACAACTTTATAGAAGAGTTTTATTAGTTTCAAGAAATTCTAAATTAGTTCAAAAATTGATTAAAGATATAACTGAAATTTTGAGGACAAAAGTTGAAAGAGATACTCCATCATCATTTTGTACAATATTTGCATTAATTACAGCAGGATGTGATGCAATTGATGAAGATACAAGATTTTTCTATTCAGATAGAGTTTATTCAATGGGTGAACGAGGGTTTAGATTTGGTTATGAAGCTCATAAAGTTATGCTGGAAAGTTGGAGTACAGGTAAATTTTGGATTGATATTATAACTGAAAGAAATATTGATTTTGGATTTTTTTAATATAATATTCCCAGTAATGTTTTATAAAATATATAGAATTATAAATTCAAATTATATAATAAATATTTATTAATGCTTAACGTTAAAATGCTAAATAATCTATAAATTCAATTGTAAAAAATCATGGTTTAATAATTCATCAGCTGAATACCTTTCTTCAATATCCCAATTTAAAGCCTTCATTAAAAAATCATTGAAAGTTTCATGCTTAGTTAAAAAAGGTGCCTTAATCTTTGTATTATCATTAATAATATTATCATAATCAATAAAGTTCCCATCATCATCAAATTTTGTAAAAATTAAAGCTTTTAAATCAATAAATTTCAAATTTTTTCTTTTATTAACAGAACCAAATTTATTTAATTCATACCTATATCTCAAAATTAATCTTGAATCTGGAGATCCCATAGTTTTTATAATTAAATTTAATAAATCAAGTTCATCTTTTGCTGGAAACATTGGATTCCCCATATATAATTCCCAAATCATAACTGCAAATGACCAAATATCAATTTTTTCATTATATCTACAACCTAATACAATTTCTGGTGATCTATAAAACCTTGATTGAATATAAGGATAAGAAACATCACCAATGGAGCAAGAAGTACCAAAATCAATAATTTTCAAATCAAGGGAATTTGTTGATATAAGCATTATATTTTCTGGTTTTAAATCAGCATGAATTATCCCCTGTTGATGTAAAAATTTCAAACCTTGCAAGATATCTTTAGACCATTTTTGTAAAATATTTAATTCAAATGATTTAAAATTTGTTGATTCTAAACAATCATAAAGATTTACACTTAATAATTCAGTTATGATACAAATATGTGATCTAAAATTAAAATGACCAAAATAATTTAAACTTTGCTTATTGGGTATTAATTTTTTCAAAACTTTAATTTCATTAATACATTGTAATGATAATTCTAAATCATTCTTCATGATTTTTATTGATAAGATTTTACCACTTTTATGATCAAAACATTTAACAACATTCCCAAATGAACCTTTCCCTAATGAACCTAAGATTTGATAACGATATTGTAGATGATCATTTTTATCCAGAATTAAATTTTTATCTAAATCATCAAACCCAAAATTTTTATTAAATGAAGAATTTGTCAATATTGGGATTTTGGACCTTATTAAAGGTTTTGAAGTTTTGGATTTATTTATATAATAAACTTTACCAATTTTGGATAATTCAGCTTTTTCATATGAAGATAATGAATTGAAATCAATAATTGAAGAATTTTTAGTTATTTGATCATTATTATTCATTAATAAATTTTTTGTCTTGTCAAAATTATATAAACAATTTGATAATTCTTGAATTGTGGATATTCTTTTGAAAATTGGTGGTTTATTTGTCAATTGAGGTTTTCTTGATGATATTATTCTTTTAGAAGTTGTTAAAGGTGGTTTTAATTGATTTTTAAATTCATTTTGTGGTTGATTAATATGATTTAAATCAGTATTAACACTAAATGATTTTCTAAAATTATTTGGAATTTTTGGAATTGAATCTTGTCTTTTCCTTATGAATAATTTTTGATTTTCTTTATTTTCTTGAGATGAAATCTGTTCTTGTTGATTATTTATTGATGGATATCTTGAATATCCATTAAATTTTTGATTTGAAACACTTCGTATTTTATTAAGATTTTTTGGATTTGAATTATTTTGTGATAAATTTGAATAAGTTGTAGATTTTGATAGTTTATTACTATTATTATTTGCTTTTAGATCAGCTGATGCAGTAGAACGAGTTAATCTTGAAAATAAATTTGAAGAATTTGATTTAGAATTTTCTTTTAATGGTGATAAATTTGATGAATTTTTTAATGGATTCTTTGATGTATTATTTGATACATTATTTGACTTCAAGTGATTTGTATGATCTAAACTTATAGATCTAGTTGAATAAGATTTTAATTTTGGCTCAAATGAAGAATTTCTCTTTATTGGTGAAGATTTTATTTTATTCTTTACTGGAGATGAAGAAGCTTCAAGTCTTTTTTTCAAAAGTAATGAAGTTCTATTACCTAATTGTTGAGGAGATGGAGTTGAATTAATGGTTTTACCTATACCTGGTGAATGTGTTTCCATCTTGTGATTAGTTATTGGGGTTGAATTTGTTGAAGTTGTTGTTGATGATGTATATAATGAGATTGGAGATATTCCCTGAGGACCAATTTTGGATGATAATGAATTATTGGGGTTAGAATTCCTTGGTTTTAAAGGGGTATCAAGGGTTAATGAAGATAATTGATTTGATAATTTAGTTATAGTGGAGGGAGGAGTATTTGAATTAAATTTTTGAGGTGTATTATAATTTTGAATTATTGGAGTTGATCCTTCATTTATTATTGAGCCAGAATGTAAAGGGGATGATGTGATTCTTGGGATTGAAGATTTCTTTACCGACCCATAAACTTTGTCATCGATTATTTCAATTGGTGTAGATACTTGTCTATCTTTTATTGGAATTTTAGAAGTATTGTTGTTGATCTTCTGAGTATAGTTCAATTGATGTTTTTGAGATCGCCGTTGTTTAGGTAATTCTAGTGGTACTTGTTCAGGTATTTCCTTGGGTATTCTGCGGCTGTCCATAGTATATCCTCTCTATTATAAGACCCCTTTTACCTTTCTTTCCTCTTTCAATGCCAAAGTAAAACTTGATCACTTCATAGTATTTCATTATTTGATGTTTTGATTTGGAACTGGTTAAGGGACACATTTAGTTTGGTTCTTTCGCGAATTTTGATTTTTTAAAGAGGACTCTGGATTTACTAGTAAAAGAATCAAAAGTATCAAAAGTACCAAAAAGTATCAAAAAGAGACCAGAAGGTATCAGGAGATCAAGAATACAATATATCATATGATCCAATTAAACCAACTAAACACAAGAGATATACTACTACTAGCACAACTAAGTGAACAACATGGAATTGATAATTATAAACAAGTCCATGAAGAATTATATGACCATCCAGTATGGAAATTATCCCATAATAGATTAAATAAGAATGAATTATTATTAAACCCAAATGATACCCAATCTTTAATTGATCAATTGATTGAAAAACATGAAGATTTACCAATTGTTGAGATTTGTGAATATTATTATGATGTTCGTTTAAAAGAATTGGAAAGTGAAATCCAGGAGAATAAAGAATTGTTTCATTTAGTTAAATCAGAGGTATAAAGAGATGAAGATGATACAATTATTGAAAATATAACCAAAAGATCGAGTGTATACAGGTCCAGATATTGTGAGTCAATGAACTACTATAGAGTAACAGTGATAGTCCTATAGTTTACTACACTCCTCAGCTATATATACACTACAAGTACCATTTATAATATAATATAATATGTATTAAGTTTCTAAGTATAAATCCGAGCCATTGGTTCCTAACAACCACCAACCAAGCAGCCAATACTAAAGGTATCCAGTCTCATTATGGATCCGTTGTATAGCAACCAGCAACTAATGATGATGATGTAGCAGTGCAACAACTGCAGATTTAAACCCAGTGATCTCTCGTAAAGTGATGAGAGAATTTAGATTTAGTCCCACAGTTGATTGTGGGTTTGTGGTTTTCATGAGTTAATCATGATTGTGTTTTTATATGCACTCATGATATTCGCGCATATAATATTTTTGTACTTTTGTATGTACAATATGAGAATTTTTTGTAGCTTTAATTCTCATTTAAACAACTCAATTGTTGTTTAATTGATTCATTCATTGAGAATCGAACCAAGGGTGTTGCCATGTTGTCTCTGTGGTCTTTGTGCTCCATGGACACTGTACCAACTAGGACATACTCACCCTTGGTTAATATTACTTGTATTTGAGTTGTATATGTGGTGTATGTGTAATATTATAGTGTATTATGTAAGCATGATATTTTCCAACGCGTATTGATCTGTTAAATTAACGAGTTACAATTATAGTTATAGAAACACTTATAGATCACATAAATAAGTCATATTACTTTTACTGAAAGGACATAATATAGTAAATGTTAATGAAGTTAATTAAATACGTACGTCAAAATTTGACACAATTTAAACTTCATGAAATAATGATCGCGGCCACACATGAGTATTATTTCTGAACAAGCAATGTTCTACATGATCTATAACTTAAATTTATGATTTATTGATCAGATTCTCATTGCTAATTTCACCTTTCAATAATTTTCTCAAATTTTATATAACTATATATAAATGATCATTTCCACTAGAACATTTCTAGCTCATATTGATCATATTTCATGAATTACTTTTCGACATATTCATTGAATTCTCCTTTCCACTAAATGATACTTATCGATATTGTTGCGGTACTATAGCGGATACATCGACAAAACCTGGATAAACATTCGAGAGGTCATGTCACCAGAGATCAAAAAGTCTTGATGATCAGGTATACTTGTTTGCAATTTGCATGCACAATGCACAGTGCATCAAGTATGCTTCCAGACACTTCTCTTTATGAGAGGTGAATGGGCCTTATAATTTTTGATTTTTTCTTCTCCTTGTCCTTGTGACTTGGATATTCCTTTAAATGTTCGTGATTAGTGATTGATGTGAGTGTGTCTTGTGATTTATTTGAACAGCTTTTCCCACAAAGTGACTGAGAGGAATCCTGGTCTTTTACTACCGAATTGGTAGTCAATTGTTGCAAAGTTGTTTGAACATGGAATATTCAAAAATAACCTTATAATATTGAAAATTAAACACGAACGTAGAGATCAAAGTAACTGTGATTTCAATACATAACAATTCCTATTCTTGTTAAACCGTACTACTACTTATTACTCGTGTAATTGCATAGATAATGTACTTTCCCGCATGTGTCCGACAAAACCTAACCAATTCAGAGAACCATAAGCCAATTTGTGTTTTATATAACGTAAACCATCGAAATTCATGAATTATCTTATTATACAGACCCTTATCGATCAAAACCCTTAAATCCATGTTTATCAATATGTGTTCACACTGTGTACAAGGCCTGTGCGTTGAAATTTGGCATATTATATGTTTTATCTCCATAAACTCCATGAGTTGAAAATTTTGTTAGTATTTTTTGTCAAATATGCAAAACATTATAACTATAAAGATTCAACTAACCCCGTTAATTGCTTGTGAATTGGTATAACATATATCATATAGGTTGAATTTTATTGTTTTATTAAGATGATATGCCATGTTGAACGCATATACTTGATCTGCAGATTCTTGAATTCTAACTGTCCAGGGTTGAGTGATTGAGTATTTAAAGAGAAGACAAGTCGCCCTGTTTTATAGGATATTCCAAGATGTTTGAATTAGTGGTTAATTAGGGCATTAATATGTCACATAGTCATTTTTCAAAACTTGAAATTTTCATTAGAAATACTGTTTTTGGGCGAGTTATTTATTTCATAACTAATGGTAAATATTTCAAGCATACAGAAGAATATAATGATTATCAAATCCCATTAAAATACTTAAATTTCCAAACAAATGAACCAATAATAGTTGATTGGGATCATGAGAATGATCCACAAAACCCACAAAATTGGTCCCTACCTTTGAAATTACTCTTTATATTCTTAAATTCACTCATTTGTTTAACAGTTTATATAGCTTCAGCTATTTATACACCAGGTTTAGAACAAATTCAAAATGATTTAAACATTTCATCAACTTTAGCAACATTGCCTTTAACTTTATTTGTTATTGGATATGGTATTGGTCCATTAATATTTGGTCCATTAACTGAAAATGCCAAAATTGGTAAAATGCCAATTTATTTAGGTACAATTTTAATGTTTATTATATTACAAATTCCTACAGCATTAGTACAAAACATTACAGGGTTTTGTACATTAAGATTTATAACTGGTATATTTGTTGCTGCTCCTATAGGTGTTGGACCTGCTGCTTTTTCTGATGTTCTTTCAATGGCTTATGTTCCATTTGCTATATCATTTTGGTCTGTTTTTGCAGTTTCTGGTCCGGCTTTAGGTCCTTTAATTGGTGCTATTTTAACTGTTAAGGATAATTGGAGATGGAGTTTTTGGTTTCTATTAATTTTAAATGGGATTGGATTGGGTGTAATGATTGTGTTTTTCCCTGAATCTTCTTCAAAAACTCTTTTATACAAGAAGGCATGCATTTTAAGGAAGAAAACTGGGAATGAAAAAATTATATCTTTAGGTGAGATTGAATTGATGAATATGAATACAAAAGAAGTGATTATTGATACATTATGGAGACCTTTTGAAATAACAATTAAAGAACCAGTTGTATTATTGATTCATATTTATATTTCATTAATTTATGCAATTATGTATATATGGTTTGAAGCATTTCCTATTGTTTTCTTTCAAACTAAACATTTTACATTAGTTACAATGGGTGTTAGTTATATTGGAATTTTTGTTGGTTGTGTATTGGGGAATTTTATTTATGTGCCATGGACTTTTAAACATTTTACTAGGCCAATATTGAATGGTGAATTAGTTAATCCTGAAGTTTTTTTACCATTAACAATCATGGGATCAATTATAATGCCTATAGGTGTATTCATATTTGGTTGGACTTCATCACCTGAGATAAATTGGTTTCCACCAATCTTAGGAGCTACATTATTTGTTTTTGGTAATTATTTTGTTTTCCAAACATTATTTAATTATTTTAGTATGTCATTTTATAGGTTTCTTCCTTCTGTTTTTTCAGGTAATGCAGCTATAAGATCCATATTTGGAGGTGTTTTCCCATTATTTGGGAATGCATTATTCATGAATACAGGATCTTCTGAGTTCCCAGTTGGATGGGGGTCAAGTATCTTGGGATTCTTGTGTGTTTTGATGATTGCAATACCTGTATTGTTTTATTTTAATGGACCTAAATTAAGAGCTAGATCTAAATATGCTGGGGATGGTGATATACAGCCAGAAGTAAAACCAGTATCAATACCTGATGAAAAGAAGTCAATATATAGTCAAGTCTAAGATCATCCTCATATTAAATAGTATACAAATGAATATAATATAAGTATATGATTACATAAGTCTAGCTATACTGATTACATAATCCACTTCCTCGGTATAATAAAATCAAAATAAAATCACAGCGGTTAATTTAAATTTTAAAAACATCCCCACATTAAATGAGATTCTTATAAAATGAAATGGAAAGCGCTTTGATTTGTTTACCAAATTTACTTTTCTATAATGGAATAATTCATCAACGCAATGTCAGTCAAATCAGTCAAATCATTGGGTTCATTCTACACAAAGAATAAGAACATCATACTCAAGGCTTCTTATGTGCTGCTTATATTCCTAAGTTTTACTAGTAATTCTAAACCAAATCAAAAAAACACACCAACTGATCAAGTTGGTGATAAAGATAATAAAGATAAAGATGATAAATACCAGGTCAAGACTGATAAGATTGCTCTCAAGAAGTTAGCTAAAGCTATATTACCAAATTTCAAATCACCAGTGTTGTTTTATTTCATCTTGCAACTTTTATTATTAGCAACAAGAGCTATATTAACTTTAAAAGTTGCCACTTTAGATGGGTTATTGGTGAGTTCAATGATTCGTAAGAAAACTAGTAACTTCCTTAAATTATTAGTTAAATGGATGTTGATTGGTATACCTGCTTCTTTAACAAATTCATTGTTAGACTTTACAACAAATCAATTATCTTTAAATATAAATAAAAATATTACTAGGGATTTAATGGAATTATATCTACCAACTGATGATAATAAAGAAGCCACTGCTACAAAGAAGAATCCAAATTATTATACAATGATTCATATGAATTTTAAAGAAAAAGTTAATGATCCAAATCAAAGAATTACCACAGACGTTAACAATTTATCTTCTTCATTAGCAAGTTTACCAAATCATATCTTGAAACCAACATTAGATTTAATTCTTTGCTCTTTTGAATTATCAAGATCTGGTTCACCTGAAGGTACGCTAGTATTAGGTTTGATTGCTCATATAACTTCATTAATCTTGAAGATTTTTTCACCAAATTTCACCAAAATTGCAATTGAACGTTCAAGATTAGAAGGTTTATTAAGATCTTTACATTCAAGAATTGTACTTTTCAGTGAAGAAATTGGATTCTTAAGAGGTTATCAAAGAGAATTAGATATCGTGGATAAATCTTACTATGAATTGGAAAAATTTACAAATTATGAAATTAAAGCAAGAGCTATATATGATACTGCAACAACATTTATTGTTAAATATACTTGGGGTGCTGCTGGATTAGTATTATGTTCAACTCCAATTTTCTTAAATAAATTTAATGGTATAATGGATCAAAATAGTTCAGCTACATTTGTTACAAATCGTCGTTTATTATTATCTGCTTCTTCTTCATTAGGTATGATTATTCGTTCAAGAAAAGAAGTTCAACAAGTTTTCGGTTATTTCAAGAGATTAAGTGAATTTAATAAAATTTTAGTTGATATTGATACTAAAAATCTAAAAAATATTAGTAATGATAATGTTGTTAAATATAATGATGATAAGATTGAATTTAAAAAAATTCCATTAATAACACCTGCAAATATTACTTTAGCAAAATCATTATCTTTTGTTATAAATCATGGTGAACATTTATTAATTGCTGGACCAAATGGATGTGGTAAATCTTCATTATTTAGAATTTTAGGTGGATTATGGCCAGTTCAAGGTGAAGGTGAATTAACTATCCCACATTTTGAAAATATGTTTTATTTACCACAAAGAGCTTATTTAAGTAAATCTTCATTAAAAGATCAAATTATTTATCCAAGTACTGATTATAAATATGATACAAATAAGGAACTTTATGAAATTTTAAAAATTTTAGATTTAAATTTCTTAATTAATTAAGAAAATATAACTTTAGAATTATCAAGAAATCCACAATTGGAAATTAATCAAATTGATCCATTCTCCACTATAAGAAATTGGCCAGAAGAATTATCAATTGGTGTTCAACAAAGATTAGCAATGGCAAGATTATATTATCATAAACCAAAATTTGCCGTTTTAGATGAATGTACATCTGCTGTTTCCCCTAAAATGGAACAATTAATGTATTCACATGCTCAATCATTGGGAATTTCAATTTTATCAGTTGCTCATAGATCTTCATTATGGCATTTCCATACTCATATATTAAAATTTAGAGGTGATGGAACTTATTCTTTCACTAAATTAAATGCAGAAGAAAGATTAAATTGGGAAAATGAATTAATTGAATTAAATAAATTCTTGAGAGATGTACCTAATTTAGAATCAAGATTAAAAGATTTAAAAATTGCTCAAGAATCTCAAGAATTTAAACGTTCACAATCTCAAATTAGTATGAAGAAGTTACCAGTTCAACAGATTGCAAATTGATTAATTGATGTGATTACTATATATTATATATTTATTGTTTATGAAGTTATTTATGAAGTTATTTATTGTTTATTAGATTGTAGATACAAACTTCAAACTATTTGGATATTTGATATTTCATCTATAGTTTATAACTTGGTGTTTGGATGTGCTTTTGAAATCCTGCCCTAATAATTATATCAATTTTCGCGAAGAATTTTGATTTTTTTGATTTTTTCAACGAGTACAAAATAATTTTTTTAAACTTTGTTTTCAATTCTTTACCAAACTCTTAATCAAGATTAACAACAAACAAAAGTGTAAGTTTATTTGGAACTATATACATCAAAGTTTAAATTTTTATGATGATACAACTTATTTATGCATAGTTCAACTGATCATACTTGAAGATAAACATAACCATCGTCTTTCGCTCCTATCTGATTTTAATTAAAACTTTTGATGTTATTCTTATAACAAAGGAATCTTTAAATTAACATGAAATTTTAGTTATTTATCGTATATTATATTGTATTGTATATCTAAATAAACATTGTATTGTCATTATTCATTATATCTTTTTAGGCTTCTTCTTCTTCTGGTTTTAAAGCATACATTCTAACTTTAAATAATTCTTTTGGTAAACCTTTTTGTAAATCTGTTGAAATTAATTTTAATCCAACTTTTTTGAAAACTTTTTGAAAATTAACATTTGATCTTGTTATTGAACTATCTTCATCATCATAAACATCATCTAATGGTGCATTATTTTCTTTTATTATTATTGTACCATTTTTTTGTAATCCTTCTTTACATCTTATTAAAAATTTTATAAATTCTTCATCTGGTAAATGTCCAACACACCATTGACACCAAATAACCCAGTATTTCCCCTTTTCTGGTATCCAATCTTGCATCCCAATTGGATAAATCTCACCAATTTTCCCTTGTGATTTTAACTCTTGTAATTCAAATTCCATTTGTTTAACAAAAGGTTCAACAGGTTCAACTAAATCAACCACATCACAAACTTTATGTAACATATCTCTAGTAACACGACCAATACCAGCCCCAATATCAACACCTATTTTCCTTTGACCTTCTTCAGGAATCATTCTAGTTTTCAATTTACGTAGGAAAGTTAATGAACCAACAACATCTGCTTTTGGAACTGATGTGCTTTCACCATACCCACCAAGAACACCGTCTACTGTGGCTGGGATTGAAGTCCAATAGTCTATGGCCTGTTCATAGTCTATCAACGCGTCTGGTCTGTTGTCTGTCTTGTCTTCACTCATGGTAGCCTTTTCAGATCTTGATCAAAACAAGTCAAAACTGATCTTTTAAATAGTCAAATTTATTTTTTTCCGATGAGCTTATATGGCTGAGATTTCCTGTGATTACGTAATTTCTTATTGTGGAAATTAATCTCGAAAAATTGAAAAGTCGACGATGGGTATTAAATATAACCAGCAGCACCAAACAATAAAACATTCCCCAGTGATCACCTTTCCCTCCACTATTAACAACAAGATGAGTGGATGTATGTGCTGTGATATGTGATACTCTATGGTGGATGTCTTATACTAACCTTCTAGTTCGTCTTATTGATTTGGCTAAGCCTTTCTTACCTCTCCTTCCAGAGATTGAATTACCATTGGAACAACTAACCTTTGATGATAAGGTTATGTACACAATTGGTACTTCTTTCTTATACTTGCTTGCTCAATTACCAATCTTTGGTGCTTCCAAAACAACTAATGATCCAATCCATTGGTTACGTCCAGTTTTCGGGGCTGAACAAAATACTTTATTAGAATTTGGTGTTTTCCCAATTATATCAAGTGGATTAATTTTCCAAATCTTGTCAGGTTTAAAATTGATCAAGATTAATTTTAATAATAGATTAGATAGAGAATTATTTCAAACTTTACAAAAAGTTTTCGCAATTTTCCAATATGCTATTTTAACAAATATTTTCTTATTCACTGGTTATTATGGTTATAATTTAACTTTTTGGCAATATATCTTGATAAATTTCCAATTAATCGGTACTGGTTCAGTTTTCGTCTTTATTTCAGAAATTATTGATAAAGGTTATGGTTTTGGTTCAGGCTCATTAACTTTTATCACTATTAACATTTCTGCAAATTTCGTTACTGATATTATTGCATTAAATTCAGTCAAAACAACAAGAGGTTATGAATCAGTTGGTGCTTTAGTTAATTTGGTTAAAAATTTACGTAATAAACCATTTAAAAATGCCATTTTGGAATCATTTACAAGAAGTTATTTACCAAATTTAACTCAAGTTTATTTAACTATTGGAATTGTCTTGGTTTTAATTTATTTACAAAATTTTAGATTAGAATTACCAATTAGATCTAATAGAGTTAGATCTGTTTCAAATGTTTTCCCAATTAAATTATTATATACTGGTTCTTTACCTTTATTATTCTCATATGTTGTTTTATTTTATATTAATATCTTGGGTTATACTATTGTTAATTTAGTTTTCAAAAATGATTCAAATCAAATCATTGTTAAAATTTTGGGTCAATATATAACAACAGGTTTTAACTCAAATTTTATTGTGGAAAAACCTTCAATTTTATATTTTTTTTCACCATCAAAAAATTTATTTGAATCATTAATTTCTCCATTAAGAACTATAATCTTTTTTGCTACAATTTTAATAACTTCAACTTGGTTTGCAAACATTTGGTCATCAATCTCAGGTTCATCTCCAAAAGATTTAGCCATTCAATTCAAAGAACAAGGTATTTCAATTGCAGGTCGTAGAGATGTTTCAATTTCAAAAGAATTACAAAGAGTTATCCCAGTTGCTGCAGTTTCAGGTGCTGCTATCTTAGCAACAATTTCTGAAATTGGTGAACTATTTGGAACAAATGGTAAAAGTCCTGCTATAATTGTTGCTGTTGGTGCTGCTTTTGGGTTCTTGGAACTTATTGCAGCTGATTTCCAACAAGGTGGTGGTTCTCAAAATTTTGGTTCAATTTTTGGTCAATAAATTGAATAGTTCATCACTAAAATATTAAAAAAAAAGAATAAAAAGAATAAAAAATGGAATCATATATGAAAGTATGATTAGAAAAATAAATAAATAATATGAGTATATATTCTTTATGATTCTATATAACGTACGTCTCATATAGAAGCTCATAAAGTATTTATAATATTAATGATAATTGCTTTATCTGTTTTACTAATGTCTACAGTTGTAGTACATATAATTCATTAATCCCATTAAACTCTTCATAAACAATTATATACTCCTTATCCAACTAGTTGAATGTGATTTAGATTTCCAATTTTTAAGTATTAAATCTTTTTCTGATATAGATCCATAAATAACTTTTGTTGAAATTTTGCTTGGTTGAAGATTTGTATATAATTGGTATTCAGGTATTTCAATTGAAATTTCTGTTTTATAACCTTCATTTCTATTTATATCTTTAATCTTTAAGATCAAACAATCATCATTCATTTCAGTTTTGATTGGTGATAAAAGACCAAGATAATATAATTCTCTATGAAACCAATTTAATGACTTAACAACATTTGATATTTGATTAAATTGTTTAATTAAATCCATTTCAGGTTTGGATAACTTATTAATGAAAATTTCAATATATTTTTTAGTTAAATCTGGTAGTTTTTCATTAATTTCAAAAATTCTTGAATCAGATTCATTTATCTTAGTTAAATCAATAGAAGCTGTAATCATATTTGAAGCAAATGAAACATTTAAAATTGTATCATTTAAACTTAACAGTTTAATTCCAGAGATTGATTGTAAGGCAACAAATTGTTTAGTCCAAATTTGTACTCTTGTATCCAGATCCATACCATTAATTTTAACAATATGTTCTTTTTGTTCAACAATTTCTTCAATTTCTTTATATTGTGAAACTTTTTGTGAAAGTTCATCATTTTTAATTTGACATTTTTCTAAATTTTCTTCTTGATTATTTAAATCTTTTAAAATTTTATAAAGATTATTTCTTGTTTGCATTACATCTTCATTTTGTGAAGCTTGGAAAATTTCATTTTGTTCAATAAGATCATTCATTTGTTCTGATAAATTTTCCAGTTCTAAATCCAATTCTTCTTCAAAATTTGTTAATTCTTTTACTTTATTTGAAATATTAATAGAATCTTTCTCTATAATGTCCAAATGATCAATTAGACGATTATCAAGCTCATTTAATAATTGATAACTCCACTCTAACCATGATACTTCAGCTTCTTTATCAGACAATGTTTTCATTAAAAGTAAACTATCACTAAGTCTTCTTTGTTCTTGAGTATCTCTAATTTGATAATATTCACGAACTAACTGAGGATTTTCTTCAATAAATTCATCATTATAATTATCAAGAAATAATTTCAATTTAGACATATCTTTTTGTAATTCTGAACAACTGAAACTATAAAGTTCTAACCAAGGTATTTTAATTGATTTAGCCTTCAGATAATCAATTTTTTTTACTTCTGTGTTATTTTCAATTTGATTTAATACAACTGTGAAATCTTCATTGATATTTAAATTATCAAAAAATTCAACCCCAAGATCTTCTAAAAATTGTTTCAATGGAACAGGTGCATACTCATCATCATCATAATCATCATCCTCTTCACTTTGTGAAGGTTCTTGTAAAGGTACCAATGTAGTTGTTTCAAATGTATGTTTATTTGGCAATAATGATGTTCTATGAATTTCCTTTGCAGATCTTAATGGTGTAAAAGAACTTCTCATAAGATCTTGAGGAATTATCAGAGGACCACTAAAAATTGAAGGTTGTAAAGATTGTCTATTAGAAGTAATGCTTTTTCTTTCTCCTGTACTTTTTCTTCTCTTTTTTGGAGTGAGTGAATTGATTTTTTCTCTTAAATTCAAAGTAGCAGATTCATTAAGTTGATGTTTTCTTTTAGATGACATTGGGGAGCCTGTTTCTGAAGTATGTGATTTTGAAGTTCTCAGAGGAGTCATTGAGTTGGATTTATTAGATTTGGTGGTGAGCGCTGGACTTTTTTGTGAGTTTAAAGATTCAAAAGGTTGAGGTAAAGGTGAATGATCTGAAGCTATTCTTGTAACCTCCATAGATACTTCAGTTTGATCAGCTATACTGAATTGCGTTTCATCAATTTCCATTGCTTGTGTTGTATCATTAGCTGTATCATCAAATTCCTTTTGTAGTTCAGTGTTATAATATGTATTTTGCTTTGTAATAGCATCATCTGTAGATATACTACTTGAAGTTCTTGTAGCCAAGTTGGAACCATTGTTTAATTGATCAATTTCCTCAGTGTTCTCTCTATTATTGGAAAATGGTTGTGTAAGATCCATATCAGGTTCATTGATTTCATCAACAATATTATTTGTCTTTTCTGAATATGGTTGTGTAAGATCCATATCAGCCTCATTAGCTTCATCAACAGTATCATTTTGAAATAAATCCTTAAGACTACCAAAAGGTCTTGAGCTTGTAAGTTCATCTGAAGAGTCTTGGTGTTGTGATTCTAGTTGTGATGATGGTTCAGGGAATGATGATCTTTGATCCAATGGTACTAAAGATAATTGTTGAATATTACCCAGAGGTTTTGTCAAATCCATAGTATTATCATCATCTGTATATGGTTGGGTTTCATTCATTGACTCATCATCATTATATATTGCAAAAGGTTGGTCTTCAGTTGGTAATCTATTTGGTGAAGAATAGACATGACTATCATCTTCCATTTCAACATCACTACTTGGATAATTAGTCGGAGCATTTTGTTGTGAGCTTGAGGGTATTGAGATATCATCATCTGAAACCTGACAGGATGATGGTAATGCTGCGATTGTTTCTCTTCTTTTTGGTTGTTTTTCTTCAATATTTGAACTTTTTGTATCGACTTTAAAATTATGAAGTGTAACTTCTGGATGGAAAGAGACTCTTCTTCTAGATGGTTTCTTGGTTTGGTTTTGTTGAGTATAGATTGTCTGTTGATGATCTCTGAGTGCCAATGGCATCACTTCAATAGTATGATTACCATCATCTTTACGTTTTAAAATACCTTTAGCGAATGATTCTCTTCTATTTTCTTTTTCAGTTTCAATAGGAATTTGATTCTCCTTGTCTTCAGTGTGATTTGAAGACATTGTAGCAAAGGAATTTGGTATTTGGTGATGGTGGATTGGTGGATTAGTGTTTGTTTTGTTGGATGTGGTGATGATTTTGAAGATAAGTAGATATCAAATCGAAATGAAAACAAACTTCATCTTAGTTTATTAAATGTCACCATGGTAACAGTCAAACAATCCACAAAAACGTAAACAAACATTGAAATCCGGGTAAAGTATTGAGATTTATATATATTATCGCGAATTCATTCTATACTTTTAGAAATTCAAATATTGTAAATTATGAGATTTGACTGGGTGTTTGAAGTTCTTGATCTTGTAGATTTGCCACAATTCTTAATGATGGTCTTTAATGCATATGATATTGATAGTAAGAAGGATCTCAAGGCTAGAATTGAAGATAATAATCACAAAATCATCAATATTATGGCGACGTCTATCAAATTTAGCCAGTCTTTGGACTCTTATTGATAAGATGGGAGAGATGAGCCGGGGCTCGTATGCAGTAATTAATTTTTTTTTTCTTCACATACATTAGCTGAAGATATACGTTAGATTAAGTACATTTATTTCAAATATAAGGTCCTCAGATTGCATTTTAGAACTTTTTGGAATATGTCACAAGATACTCTAGTGCCTATTGAACATCATGGTCCATCTATTGCTGTGAAATTTTGGGATGATGACCTTTTATTTGTTGGTCATGGTCCAATATTGAAAATTTATAACTATAAAACATCAGAAATAGTGAAAACTATTCGTATCTTTAAAAAAAATAAGATCCATGGTATCGCATTTGATAGAGATACATTTTTATTCTATGGTGCTAGATCATTTAATATGTTATCTTTTGATCAAATTATGGAACAACAGAATATTGTTGATAATGAACAAATGATTAATGATTGGATTATAACTGCAGAATTTAGTGCTAATGGATTAGAAGCTTTTATTCTTACAGCTCATAATGTCATCTTGAGTATTGATTCATATTCTCAAACTTTACAATGGGAAAAATCAGTTTATGGAGAAAAATCCATTTTATATTCTGGTTCAATTAGAGTTGTTTCAAAACAAGATGTTTATATCAATGCTGGTACAGTTATGGGTGGTGTTGTTATTTGGAATCTTTACAAAGAGGAAATTGTTCATACTTTATTGGGCCATGAGGGGTCTATTTTCAATGTTCAAATGAGTCCTTCTGCCAAATATATAGTTAGTTGTTCAGATGATAGATCAATTAAATTATGGGATCATAAAACTGGTGATTTATTATCAACTGCTTGGGGTCATACTGCACGTATATGGAATTTAAAATTTTATGATGATGAAAAATCTGTCATTAGTGTTTCTGAAGATTTAACTTCAAGAACTTGGAATATAACTGAAAATCAAGAATTATTACCATATGAAACATATCAATTACATTCCGGTAGACATATTTGGGGCCTTGACGTTAGTGACAAAGTTAAATTAGCTGCTACTGGTGGTAATGATGGTCGTATTAGGCTCTTTTCAGTTAAAACAGGAGAAACTGAATCTTATAGAAAAACTTTTACTTTAGAAGATATTACAAATTCAGCACCTGATTATATTATAAAGAAGAATGAAATTGTTAAAGGTTTTTGGAAATTAAAGTTTGGTCTTGTTATAATAACATCTGAAGGTGGTATATTCATTTATAAAGATCAAAAATGGGAACTACTTAGAATTGAAAATAAATTTAATAATTTCTCATTAACTAATGGATTCACTGATGATAATATAATCATTTTCACAAATACTAAAGGTGATTCTTTATTTTTAAAGTTTGATGAAGAAGGAAAAATTATCAATGAAAAATGGATAAATACAGAAGTTACCAAAATTGTTAATGCATTAAGTACCAAAGATGGATCAAATTTTTATTTAATGATTGAATCACCAAATAAAAACGAAAAATTAGTTGTTTATGAATTTGATCAAAATTTTGAAATTTCAAGAACTGTTTTTTTGGAAAAAGGTCCTACATTTGTCACCACATGTTTTGAAGTAAATGGTGATTTCATCTTTGCTGGGTTTAGATTAAGTTCATTAGGTATTTATAGTCTTTCAACTGGTGAAGAAACTAAATTTATCAAAAAATTATCTATAAGTGATACTGTGACATCTATCAAGAGTATTAAATCTGATGATAAAAAGACATTATTAATCATTTCAAATAGAGATGGATATTATGTTTATATCAAATTTGATAAAGCTACAAGTGAATGTGAATTCATTCATTCAAATAATACAAGAAGAGGATTTTTAGAAGGTTCATATAATATTAATGATGAATTAATTTTATTTGGATTTAAATCAAGTTTTTTCTATATTTATAATGAATCTAGAGATTATGAAATTGCATATGAAAACTGTGGTGGTGCTCATAGACAATGGAAATTATTTTATTCAAATGAATCTTATGAATTTGTTTATACAAGAAGTGGTTCACTTACAATTAGAGAGATTCCAAAGGCTAAATTTGATTATTATTTAAGTGAAGGTACTCATGGTAGAGAAATTAGAGATATTTCCATAAGAAATGATTCTTCAAAAATTGATGATTTATTATATATCACAGGTGCTGAAGATACAACATTAAAATTGTCATCATTAAATAGTACAAATGGACAAATTAAAAATCATTGGACTTTAAGAAAACATACATCTGGTTTACAAAAAGTTAAATTTTTAAGAAATGATTTAATCGCTTCATCATCTGCAAGAGAAGAATTTTTCATTTGGAAAATTGATGAATCTTTTAATACCCCTTTTATTATTCCTTATGCATCATTAAATCCATCATCTGATAATCCAGATTTAAGAATTATGGATTTTGATCATCTTGAAGTTTATGATGAATCAGGAAAATTACAAGGTTTATTCTTGGTTAATGTTTATTCTGATTCAAGTATTAAAGGATGGTATTTTGACCCTGAAACTGGAAACTTCACTCAATTAATCAATGGATTTTATAAGACATGTTGTTTGTTTGATGTGAAGTTAAATATTGTTGATAATAATGTATACCTTTTAACTGGTGCTACTGATGGTTATTTAACATTATGGGATATAACAAATGAATTTTCATTGAAAGTTCAAAACAATAAATTACAAATGGTCACTGAATTGAAATCAAATAAAATTTCAAGTCCAATTTCAACAATTTGTGTTCATCAAAATGGTATTAAATCATTTGAAACTCAACTTAATAATAATGAAATTTTAGTAGCCACTGGTGGTGATGATAATGCATTAGCCATCACATCTTTCAAAATCAATAATTCCGGAGTGGAAGCTAAAATATATTCCAAAATTGAAGATGCTGCATCATCAACCATTACTTCATTAAATATCTTGCCAAATGATCGTGTATTAGTTGCATCTGTTGATCAAATTTTCAGAATTTGGAGTTTTAAAACTGGTGAATTGAAATTAATAGATTCAAAGAGTACCACTATTGCTGATACAGGATCATTAGATTCAATAAGTTTAGAAGGTAAAGATATTGCATTAGTTGGGGGTGTTGGTTTATCAGCTTGGGAAATTAAAAATTAGTTTTAATTATATTATATTTATAGAAAATTTCATAGAATTACATAGATAAAAGTTAATCATAAATAAATTGTATATTTTACAAGTTGTAATTTATTTTCTCTATATGTACATGGAACTTCATATCTTTTTTTTTGTCTAATAACACCTTCTAACCGTTCACCATATTTATTCTTCATTAACCTTGACGTTGTTTATGTTTTTTGTTGGCTTTGCAATAGATGTATGTACGACCTTTTCTTCTAACAACCTATGATTCAATATGTTAGTATATGTCTCTGTACTTGAATATTTCAGTATCTTTACTTACATAGCATTCTTCACAAAACTTTTTAACTGATGTTCTAACTTTGAAAGTTCTAACTAGAGAAGGCTGTATGAAACCAAATGGAGCACTTCTAAGAAGAGTTGATGGTCTTAAGTGACTCGTTTGAGCAGCAACAGTGCGGAATAATGAGTTCATTGTTTAATATGAAGACCCAGATTTGTAGCACTTGGAGATCTATATAAATGGGTCAACCGTATCATCATTGGTATTAACTTTTTTTTTTCAACTGGGTAGTAATGAAAAGTTCGGAAAGCGCACGACTTTGGTGATAATTACATTTCCTTTAACAGTGATGGTTTGAGGGAGATTTTTGTGGAAACAAGAGTATAAAATCAGTAGATAAAAGCCCTATAAATATTCTAAAACAGTTAATATTCTATGAATATGTGAGTTGTCTTAGAGTCAAGTCATTATGATAATTCCATCACCGCTCTCTTTTCAGGCGACTGCCCGTACCGGCTTTTTAAAAATCCCATAGTTTGTTTATGTTGACACTTCAAAAGCTAAAAACAGAAACAAATGGTTCAAATTAAAAGAGTTCATTGAAAGTCCAATTTATCTGGCCTGTGCTAATAGATACTGAAAGATAAGGTAGCTTATAGCTCAAGCTTTCAGACTACACACGCAATGGAAGGATGGAACGAGGTATGTTCATATATGATTACACGCCAGAAAACACACAAGTACTAATATCATATCATTTTTAGATCACAAGGTCTCCCGTGATAAGGCCTCCAAAAAATGCCAAATCAAACCCTGCTACAGTGACTTCTACTATATTTGATGAAAAAAGTGACATAGTATGGATAGGCGATTCATCCGTGAGTAATATACTGCCCCAAGATTATTGTGCAACAAAATTATAGTATATATTTGCTAACCATTATTTGTGATACAGGGTTTCATCGCTTCATATACAGGTCAAGTCCTAAGTCCATATACACGTTTCCCAGGTCATAAAGGTGCCGTGAAACAGCTATTATCCCATCACAAAGGTGTTATATCAATTGATGATAAGTCGTTAAAGCTTACAAACAGAAGAGGTTTAGTTTTATTCCAATTAACACCATCAGATCATCCAAGTTTGGAACATATTTGTGCTATGGAATTTATATCACCAAATGAAATTATAGTGGCGACAACCACTGCTCTTTTAAGAATTGAAACACATAAGGGTAAAATAGTGAAAGAATTACCATATTCGCATGAAGTTGTTTTAATATCATCTAGTAAACGTTATGTGGCATTGGGGAAAGTTAATGGTTCAGTTGATATTTTTGATCCAAAATCAGACACTATAGTGAAAACTTTTATTTCAAGTTCAGGTAAACTTTCAGATATTGATTTAAAAGAACATACTTTAGTTACTTGTGGATTTTCTCAACGTCATGGTACTTATGTACTGGATCCATTAGTGAATGTTTATGACCTGAGAACTTTAAAACCTTTGGCACCTATAGCTTTCCCAGCAGGTGCTTCTTTTGTTAGACTACATCCAAAACTGTCAAGTGTTGCATTCATTGCCTCCAAGACTGGTCAACTGCAAATTGTTGATATGTTTAATCCTACAAACGTTTCACTTTTCCAAATTGATGCTCGTCCTATGGTTACAAAATTTGAATTATCATCTACAGGTGATTTTTTGGCCATTGCTGATGGTTATTCACTTCTTCATTTATGGTCTCATAATCCAGAACATTCATCCATGTCTTCAAAAATACCTCTGGAATACCCAACCATGCCAGAGACAAACACAACTCCAATATCGATTGATGATGACGTTCCTTTGAATACAATTGGTATGCCGTACTATAAAGAAACTTTATTATCTGCATGGCCAGCTCAAACTGTTTTCCGCAGTGCTGGTACTTTACCAAAAACAATTGATTCATCCATATTACAGAATGCTCAAAATATTGATGGATTACTTATTGCTCCTTATGATAAGGAAAAATATGGTAGAAGAAATCTTGCTAAGAAATATGTTTCAGTTAAAAATAATAATGAATCAAATAAATTCAAAAGTTTTAAAGCTTCCAATATACCAACATCTCACAAAAGTCCAAAAGAACAAGAGAATTTATTTGAAATTAAAGAATCAGATGCTCCAGATAAACCACCACCAGCTTTTAAAAAATTAGAAATCTTATATAGTAAATTTGGTGTTGGTGATTTTGATTTTGATTCATACAATTCAACACATTTCACAGGTCTTGAAGTTCATGTTGATAATGCATATACAAATTCTTTATTACAACTTTATAGATTTGTTCCAGAAATTTTCAATTTTGTTCTTGGTAATTTAGCCATAGAAAATTTAGAACCAAATTCAATATTAAGAGAATTAGGTTATTTATATGATATGATGGTTAAATCATTTGGTCATCATTTCAGACCCACAAATTTCCAACAAGCATTGTTATCACTTGATGATGCTATAAAATCAGGATTAGTTGATAAAGATAATGATTCCACTACAACCATAGCTGCTGATGTTGGAACAAAAATTAAAGTTTTTAATAGAGTTCTTCTTGATAATCTTGTTAAAGATGAAATGAAACAAGCAGTACCACAATCAAGATTTTTAAAATCTCATATGGTATTTGGTATAGAAATTGAAACAAGAATAAGATCAATGTTTACCGGTGCTATGTCAACAGATATAAATATTGTCAACTCCCTGGACTTATTACCACCACATACCAATACCCAAAAATTAGCAACAAGACATGCCCTTGATCCTTCCATATTAGCATTTATAGAATCATCAACAAATATAGTGGAACAAAGAAGCATACTTAATGAAGTATCTGGCCAATTGGAAGCTGTTGAAATTAATCATGCAGTTAGAAGACTTCCACCTGTTGTTTCATTCAATTTACATTTAAAATATGATGATTTGAAAGCAATAAGAGGTATTAAAAATTGGTTAAGACCTAAATTTTATGCAGCTCATAATAAAGGAAGAATTTCAATTTATGATGATGTTAAAAACAGTTTGATTGCAGATTCATGTGATGAATATGGATTAGTTGGTTATGTTGCAGAAGTTTCTGGAGAATCTGATAAAGATAAACATTTGGTTACATTTGTTAAGATTCATAATGATTTTGAAAAAAAAACTGAATGGTATTTATTTAATGATTTCCTGGTAACTCCTATTCCAGAATCTGAAGCTTTGAATTTATCATATTGGTGGAAAAAACCAGTAACTTTGATTTATAGAAATTCTAAAGAACCTGGTCGTTTTGATTATGCTGCATGGAGTAGAGGATTAAATGATCAAATCTTATACAGAGATCATTTTGCAGCTGGTACAAGAGAAGGTAAAAGAATTGAATATGAAATGTTAACAAAAGAAGAAGCACCTCAACCTGGTACTTTGATTGCAATTGATGCTGAATTTGTGACATTAGAAGAAGAACAATTTGAATTGAAAAGTAATGGTACACGTTCAATGTTGAAACCAAGTAAACAAACATTAGCAAGAGTTTCTGTTCTTAGAGGTGATGATGGTCCTCAAATGGGTGTTCCATTCATTGACGACTATGTAGTAGTTCAAGAGGGGATTCATGATTATTTAACATCTTTTAGTGGGATCGAACCTGGTGATTTAGATCCAGCTACAAGTGATAAATCTTTGGTTAATAGAGAAGTTGTTTATAGAAAATTATGGTTATTAATCAATTTAGGATGTGTCTTTGTTGGTCATGGATTAAACAATGATTTTAGAACTATAAATATTAGTGTTCCAAAAGCACAAGTTCGTGATACTGCTGTTTTCTTTTATAAAGGTCAAAGAATTCTTTCATTAAGATTTTTAGCATATATCTTGTTGGATAAGAAAGTTCAAGCTGGAAATCATGATTCAATTGAAGATGCTCATACAGCTTTATTACTTTATAAAGAATATTTGAAACTCAAACAATCTGGTAATTTTGAAACAATTTTAGATAATATCTACAATGAAGGTCAAGCATTGAAGTTTAAACCTCCAGAAAATTTTTAAAAACTCATGAATAGTTAGTTTTCTTCATGTATTATGTGTGTAATATGCAAATAATTTATAACGTCGTTTGATAAAAAAAGAATGATAAAATTTATAAATAATCGTAAACTAATTTTGAATATAATGATCAACTCAGTTTTTGTACATGCTCCTCTGGTGTTCTAACAGCTGCCAAATCAATTCTTTTATTCTCAGGTGAATTATTAGCTCTATCAACAGCTCTTGTAGTTGGTGCAACAGGTGATCTTAATGAATTTCCTAACCCAGTCATTGACATATTGGCAGTTTGTATTATTGATGGTCTTTGTTGAGAATACATTTTTTGATGAGAATTATTTTGTTGTTGTTGATTATATTGAGATCCAATCGTTGGATTTTGAGAACGACGATTATCTGAAGAAGATGATGATTCACCTTCTATCCAAAGTTTAAAAATTTTAGCTTGGAAATCATTTGTATCAATATTTTTAATAATTGATGAATTATTACGTCCATTTAACTGGGATTTATCTATTGATTTTGAATGTATTCTCTTCACAGATTCAACACTAGGATTGAAAAATCTTCTAACATTGGTATATTCTCTTGATACTCTTTCAAGATCACGTCTTAATGAAGGATTATTTGAATTATTACTTGCAGATGGTAAATCAAGTAATGAATTTTCTCTTTGCAGCCATAATTTTTGTTGAGTTCTAGTTTCAATATTTGAATTATTTGATTTTAAAAATTGATTAAAATTTTGTGGGGTACCAACTGATGGTTCTCTTTGAAGTTTACTATTTGATACAAAACCAACACCTGAAGGTTGTTTACCTTTAAATCCAGATATTACTGATGCTGTATCATTTGGAACACTTTCACCACCGATATTTTGCATGGTAAATTGCCGTAGTGAATTTGTTGAACTTGCTAAAGATTTCATATTTCCTAAAGTTCCACTTATATGATCATTTGAATGTATGTATTGTAATGAATCTTTACTTTTTTCATGTCCATTTGTTGTTGGACCTTCTGTTCTACCTTGTACTAATGAATTTGAAAAAGGTTGATCACCAAATGCTCTCACAGCACCTGTTGATTGTGAAAGTATCATATTTTGATAATATTCTGATAAACTTTCTTTATATTGATCCACACTTTGATCTTGTTGTTTTTGATTTAGATCATCAACTGGTTGCTTACCAGCTGTATCATTTAACGTAAGATTTGAAGTCATAGCTGCTAATGAATTTCTTAAAGCTTTTGATGCACCAACTTCTGGTTCAGTTGATTCTTTTGTTTGTTGAGATGATGTATTAGATGACAGTGGTGATCCTTGAGGAATATGTGTATGACTAAACTGTGCTGGTGCTTTATAACTAAGTTTAAGTTGAGTATTATCTGGTTGGTTTGACTGAGAAGATTGTTCATCATCACTAAACTCTTCAACTTCTTCTTCAGATTCTTCTTTTTTACTACCTTCATGATTCTCATCATCAGATGATTCTTGATCGTTATTGAACTCTAACACGACTTTCCCACCTTTTCTTTGTTGTACTTGTTGATGTGACCTAGTTCTAGCTAATGGTTGTAAAGTTGATAATTTGGTGAAACTTCTATTCTTTCTCACCAATGTCCCATCAGTACTCTTTGATCTATTCAGCCCTGGACGTTGATGTATTTCCTCTGTACTTGTGATTCTTCCTAGTTTGTTCAAGTTTCTCCCATACGAAGCTGATCTGGAATGGGATCTAGCTGAGAACTTCTTTGTTTTCTTCTCTTGTTGTTTCTGTGCTGGCATATTGTAATTCACTCTAAATAGCTAGTAAACTATGACCCTCAAAAACAGTAGCAAAAAACCCACCAAACACCACTTTTTTCCTTGAAAAGATATATCTTGACTTTTGATAACCCACTTAGTCTAAGTAAAACCTCTGAATACTATTCCAGTAAAGTTGTTTGTTGCAATACGCTTGAAATGTCTGATCTTTCTGATTACTTTCATATAAGAAAACAAAAGTCATTTTCTAAATCTCATTCCCATAGTTAATACTGACACGGGAAATGCAGTACTTTAAATTGGCAGATCATTTTATCGGGAATTTTGCTACCAAAAATAAAGCACACGCCAGCCAATTTTGACACAACAACAACAACGAGATCGAGACAAAGCAGAACAACGAGATGGATTTATTTGAAGTGTCAGACTTCTATTTGAACAGGATAGTCAGTGCCAATGCTGGTAAGAATGGTGGTAAGAAAGAGCTTAGTGTTTTGCCAGGATCAAGAATTAAAGTGCTGCTCCTTGATCAATCTACGGTTCCTATAATATCATTGAATTCAACACAATCTGAATTATTACAACATGAAATCTATTTAATCAATAGAATTGACAATTTCAATAGAGATAAGATGCGTCATTTGAAATGTATATGCTTCTTAGAGCCAACAGAAGAATCAATAAATAATCTTTTAGAGGAACTCCGCAATCCAAAATATTCAAGTTATGAATTATTCTTTAATAATACATTGACAAAGACTCAATTGGAAAGATTAGCTGAAAGTGATGATTTAGAAGTTGTTACCAAAGTGGAAGAGATATTCTTAGATTATTTAACAATAAATAAAGATTTATATTCCTTAAATCTAAAACAAAGAATTTATGGAGACTCAATAAACTCTTGGAATGGGATTGCATTCAATAAATCTGTCCAGGGGTTAACATCATTATTATTATCATTAAAAGCAAGACCTATAATTAGATATGAAGCAAATAGTAAAATGGCTGCAAAATTATCAAAAGAATTGATTTATGGAATTGAAAAGACAAATTCTTCATTATTTGATTTTAAATTAAAAGATTCACCACCTCAATTACTTATATTAGATCGTAAAAATGATCCAATTACACCATTATTAGTACCCTGGACTTATCAATCTATGGTTCATGAATTAATTGGGATTGAAAATAATACAGTTGATTTATCAAATTCACCAGGTATTACTGAAGATTTAGCTAAAATTGTACTTAGTGCAAGACAAGATCCATTTTATGATGAATCAATGTTTTTAAATTTTGGTGATTTAAGTGATAAGATTAAAGATTATGTTTCTAACTATAAAGATAAAACTAAAACAAGTAGAAAATTAGATACAGTTGATGATATGAAGAGATTTATTGAAGAATTCCCAGAATTTAAAAAATTATCAGGTAATGTTTCAAAACATATGTCATTAGTTTCAGAATTAGATAGAAAAATTAATCAATTAAGATTATGGGAAGTTAGTGAATTAGAACAAAATTTATCTTCTCATGATCAACATAATTCTGATTTACAAGAAATTGATAAATTATTATCAAATAAACCAGATCAACCTGGTAAACCTTCGGGACCACCAATTTCTGAAGATACTAAAGTTAGATTAGTTGCATTATATGCATTAAGATATGAAACCAATTCAAATAATCAAATTCAAAGATTAAAAGAAATTTTAAAAAAACAAGGTGTTCCATTATATAAGATTGCAATAATTGATTATTTAATTAGATCAAGTGGTGTATCACAAAGATTAGATGATGAACAATCAATTTTCGATAAGGCAACATCAAATTTAATATCAGGTTTTAAGACAAATCATCAAACAAATAATATTTATATGCAACATGTTCCAAGATTAGAATCAATTTTAAGTAAAGCAGTCCGTGGTAAATTATCAGAAAGAAATTATCCAATCCTTTCACCATACCAAGGGATTTATAATAATTTAAATCAAGAACGTGCTCAAGATTTAATTGTTTTCATTATTGGTGGTACAACTTTTGAAGAGGCAAGAATTGTTTCTGAATTGAATTCTATAAATAAAAATGTTCGTATTATACTTGGTGGTACTTCAATTCATAATACACAATCATTTATTGATGAAGTGGAAGATGCTGGTTCAAGATGGCCAAAGACAACTGCAGGTGAACGTTTAAATTCAAGGGTTAACTAAGCCTCTATATACATATATGTTTCTTTGAAATGACTACTTGTAGGTTAAGTTTAATCTCTACACACATTAGGTTTAAACATCTATAATCTATTTTATCATCTGATATATAACATACAAGTCAATTGTTATTTTTTATCGTAACAAAACATGAATTAAAAACTTTATATAGTAATATGGGTCATTTATAATTGATAATCAAATCAACTTAAGCGTTTAATAAACGAACAGTGTTTGAATGACCAATACCTTTAGTCCAACCTTGGATGATAACAACATTATCACCTTTGTTCAAGATACCTAAAGAAATAGCTTCATCAATACCACCTCTTAAACGGTTTTCAACATCTTCTGACCAATTTTCAATAGCTGGTTGATCATAAACAAATGGATAAACACCTCTATATAAATGACAGAATCTAGCAGCTCTTGGATTTCTTGTTACCATAATGATTGGTAAATCTGGTCTATATTTCGAAACTAATCTAGCGGTAGTAGCTGAAGTTGATAAAACAATGATAGCTTTAGCACTGTTTTCAGCAGCAGCGTTAACAGCAGATAAAGCAACAGTTTCAACAGTACCAGTTGGTCTTTGAGTTAATTTTCTTAATTCATCATATAATGATGGATAAGCAATTGCCTTTTCAGCAATTAAAGCAGTATGATGCATCATAGTAACAGCTTCAATTGGATAGTTACCTTTAGCGGTTTCACCTGATAACATAACACAATCAGCACCATCCAAGATAGCATTACCAACATCAGAAACTTCAGCTCTTGTTGGTCTTGGGTTAAAAGTCATTGATTCCAACATTTGAGTAGCACAAATGACTGGTTTACCAGCTAAATTACATTTAGCAATTAATTGTTTTTGAACAACAAACACTTGAGCAGCTGGAATTTCAATACCTAAATCACCTCTTGCAACCATAACACCATCAGTTTCTTTTAAGATATCATCAAAATTGTTAACACCTTGTTGATTTTCAATTTTGGAGATAATTTTAATATCTTTACCATCTTCACCTAAAACTTCTCTAATAACTCTAACATCTTCACCAGATCTAATAAATGAAGCGAAAACCATGTGAACACCATTTTTAACACCAAATCTTAAATCAGCTTTATCTTTTTCAGATAAAGCTGGTAAATCAACATCAGTGTTTGGTAAGTTAACACCTTTATGAGATGAGATTTTACCAGCATTAACAGATTTAACTTTAATAGTGGTATCATTAACAACTTCTAAAACTTCAAAAGATAAAACACCATCATCAACATAAATGATACGACCTTTTTCAATAACTTTAGTGATATTTTTATAATCAATAAACATTAATGAATCATCAGATTCTTTTGAATATTTTTCATCAGTAGTGAAAGTCATTTCATGATTTGCAGGAATGGCATAATCTTTACCTTCCTTGGTATCACCAGTTCTAATTTCTGGACCTTTAGTATCTAAAGCAATAGCTAATGGACGACCTGGATATAATTCTTCAGATTTTCTAGCGTTATCAATAACAGATTGATGATATTCATAAGAACCATGAGAAAAATTCATACGAACAACATTTAAACCAGCTTTTCTTAAATTAACTAAAGTTTCTGGTGAATTTGTTTTTGGACCAATAGTACCAATGATTGAAGTACGACGTAATTGTGATTCAGGAGTTTCACTAACGTTTAATGAAGCTAACCAACCAATTTTTGAGTTTTCTAAAGACATTGTTGTGTATATGTGTTGTATTTGAAATTAATATAAAATCAATTGATTTATAAAAATATAAAATATTTTGTGAAATCACAATAAAGTGCATACAATGTTTATTATATATGAATTTTGGAAAATTCACGTTCTGTGCGCATTGAAATTTTTTTTTTCTTCTGGTGATGACCACCACGCAACTACAATCTCGAAACTTTAACGAGTGGAAACATGAGAAGTGGGAGTTTTGAGAGGGAGAAAGAAGGGGGATTTAAAGAGGGAAGGAGTGGGAATGAAGTGAATTGAGTGCCACCATTGAATTCCTTGAGTGAGTTTACGTAGGAGTGAGTGTTTTCTGTTTGTTTGTAGTGGTATTATCTGTTTTATTACCTGGCAGCTGATGTAATGAGATAACAGTACACGCGGTTTCGGTGTCCATGAAGAAACAATTAAACGGTGAGAAGAATTGCAAAGTTGAGCGTAGAAGAGTAGGAGTGTAGGCTAGAGAAGGGTGTGTTTAGGCAGAGAGTGTACAGGGGATCACAGGGTGCTAGGCAGAGACCACTAGCCAACGAGTTTCCTTGAATACTTGTACGTGGTGTTATCTGGACTCATCTGATCCATGGTGTTGTGTGATGTCGCACAGATCAACTGATAGTCAGCGTAGAAAGAGTAGAGAAAGAGACTAACAACAGACTAGGTAACACTATCAATCGAATACAATAAAACCATGGCCAATAAATCTAATCATATACAATTCCACTGTCACCCAATACTTACCTTCCCTTCCCTTCTTCACCTTCAACTTCAACTTCACCACAATCAACACCACCAACAACAAAATCAATGAAACCACCTGAGGAAATCTGAAACGGGCCACGCAAAATGACACCAAAAAAATTAAAATTAAAAAAAAAAAAAAGAGTTGATGATTTGTAATCAACTATGTAATAAATATACACGTGACTTGTGTATTATGTCATCTATTACTTAATCATTGATCACTAAAAGTAGTAACTGCCTATTTGGGATATTTTCTCATATTATTTCTCTGAAAACTCCATAAATTTATTTACATTTGGGATTTCAACTTTTGTTTAATTTCTATTAAAACTCTCAACAATTTCAATTAAAACATCAAAAGATTTTTGCTATCAAAAGAGTCACATTAAAGACATATACTTTACAACCACTAGTACACATACAACCACATACAACCACACAAAGATGCCCGCTTTAAGAAGTACGAGAAGATCTGATAAGAATCAACCTAAACAAGAGGAGTTTGAAGAAGAAGAACCTTATGATGAAGAAGTTGAACCTTATGATGAAGATGAAGAAGAAGCTGAAACTCGTTGTATATGTGATCAAATGGATCCTCCTGATGAAAATGGTCTGTTTATTCAATGTGAAAAATGTTCTGTTTGGCAACATGGTTATTGTGTTTCAATTTCTGATTTAGTACCTGAAAAATATTGGTGTGAATTATGTAAACCTGAATTACATACAATTATAATTAGACCTGATTCAAAAATGACTAAATATTTACCTGTTCAACCAAAAGAATCAAATTCAACAACAAATAAACGTAAAAATAGACGTACAGCTGCTAATTCAACAACAAATACAACATCAACAACAACTGATCAAAAACAAACAAAACAAAATGATAAAGAATTAAGTGCATCTGCTCAATCTAAAAGAGATAAAGAAGAATTAGAAGAATTAACTTTGAAAAGAAGAAGAGATAGAGGTACTTATTCTTCAAGAGAAGATGCAAGATATGAAGCTTTAATTCAAAGAGCTATTGAAGAAAGTAAAAGAGATGCTAAAAATGGTGATTTGAAATCTGATGAAGAACAAAATGATTCAAAAACAAGAAATTCAAAAACAAGAAATTCAAGATCTTCAAGAAGAAGTAGAAAAACTAAAAATCATGATGATTCTATTGATGAAGAAAATAATGATGATGAAGATGATGAAGATTCAAAAGGTGTTAAAAATGAAGATAATGATGAACAAAATGATAATAACAATAATAATGATCAACAAAAACATGAAGATTCGAAAAAGCATTCACCAACAAATAATAAAAGAAAAAAATCTGAAGAAATTGATGATAATCAAAATGATGAATTTTCAAATCAATATACTTCTTCACTTACTGCTGATACAACTCTTAGACCACCAAGTTCCAAAAATTCCAGATCAAACAATTCAAATCATCTAACAGGTACTGAATTAGAATCAAATAATGAATCATCAACAACAAAATCACGTAAAAGAGCAAAAAAATCTAAAACAACAAGTACATCATCAACAACAACAAATAATAAATCACCACAAAAGGATAAAGATTCTTCAATAGATTTTAATAAACCAATAAAACCAAGATTACCACAACAAAGAACAACACTAAATGAAATGAGGAAAAGAGTTGCTGCTATATTAGAATTTATTGGTAGAACTCAAATTAATTTAGCAAATGAACAAAAAGATGAAAATGAATTAACAAAATTTATTGAAGATGAAAATCAAAAAGAAATTTTAGAAAATTTATTTAAAAATTATAATGGATCTTTGGAATTAATGGATGGATTAACAAGGAAATTATTAATTTGGGAACAAAAATTTGGAAAATTTGGTGATAAATAATAATAAGTAGTCATATATACTATCAGTATCAAATTTCATAAATAATTGATGGAATTCATTGATTAGAGTAAGGTTACCTGCAGAGTCGGTAAAGTATTAGATTTAGATTTTACATGGGAACTCTAAAGATACTATAATCATCGTATATAGAATGATGTCTATCCATATCATAATTAGATTAATTGGATTATAGATTTAAATACATGGTTATTTTAATTTAAATATGATTAACTCATTTTGTATCAAGATTATATTAATTTCATACCTTTTTATAACTACCACTTCCAATTTTCTCCTTTAGTTCATTGAAAATATTAATCCATTCATCACAAACATCTTCAATAAACCTAAAAGTTAACTCAATTGATTCAATTAAATTTAATGCAAATATCAAATTCCTTGATTTTAAATCATCCACATATTTTAAAAAAATCTCTAAATCTCTTAAATGTGGTCCTTTTAACTTTGTATGAATAATCCATTCTTCAATTAATTTTAAAATTTCATTTGGTCTTTCCATTTTTTGGAAAATTAATGGTTTGAATAATTGTGTAAATAATTCAGGGTTAACATTTGTTAATTTAGTACCTATTTGATCTTTGGAATGTTTCCCCTCTAGAGTAGAATTGGTTTGTTGTTTAATCCTATAAAATTCAGTCTTATTAGCATCTTCATATGTTTTCCATTCTTCAATTATACTTTCTCGAATTGAAGTTGGTAATTCATTTAATACAGATTCATCATATTTTTCAAACTTTATAGGTGATTTTTTAGGAGATTTTGATAATGAATCTTTAATTGGTGATTGTTTCCTTATATGTTTCTTTGTAGGTGATTTCTTGGGAGAAATAATTCTAATAAATTGTGGTTGTGATCCATCAATTGGCCAAACTTGTTGTAAATAAGATTTTTTATCCTTTTGTGGAGTTTGAGGATTTATTGAAATTTTTCTTCTTCTTAATTCTTCTTTTAATTCTAATTGAATATCAATTGGTAATGAATTGAAAACTGTTAAATCAACTTCTTTTGGTATTTCTGGTACACCTACATTAGAGTTATCACGTTGTTTGTTGATTTCATTTCTTAAACTTGATGGTAATTCTTCCAACATTGATGAATCAAGATCACTTGGTATCTGGAACTGGGTTGATTTTATTGTATTAATTGGTGATTCAGTTACTAGGTTTGATTGTTTGGAATCATCTTTGGTAATAGGAGATGAATCATTAAGTTTTTGCTTTTTAAAAAAATTAAATTCAACTTTTTTAAATGGTAAAGTTTTTTGATTACCAACTTGAACTTTGGATACAAGTTTATTTGTTGCTATTGAAACACCTCGAAGTTCAAATGGATCACATCCAATATTTCTAAATAATGATCTTGCTTCTGTACCGAAAACTCTAAAATCATCAGTTGGAACACCTAATTTTGAACTTTTAGAAAACATATCACATTTACCACAACCTAAATATTTTGGTGGATCAATTGGTGCATCTGGAGATCTTTTCAAGATTTTTAATGTCATTTGTAAAGCACACATATTAATGTTTTGTAAACGATCAGCCATTTCTTTACCAAGATTAAATAAAAAATTATCAACTTGTTCAATAGTATCAAATCTAATACCCCAATTAACATCAATTGAAACACTTTTCCTCATGAATTCTTGTGGGTTTTTAGAAATATCAATTGATGTATTATCTAAACCTCTAGCATAATCATAAAGTTTTGCACCTGTTTTAACACCAAATATATTCATTAATTTTGCCTTATCAATATTTAATAAATCACCAACTGTTACTTTAATATTTTCAAAATCATCATGATCTTTATAAACTTCTTGTATTAATTTATTTTCAATAGAATATCCAGTACCTGGTAAATCACGAACATTAATTTTTTGTAAAAAATTTGGTATATCATCATGTAAATAAAATTGACCTTTTGGTTTAGCATGTCTTAGGGCCAATTTAGCTAAAAGTACATTATGAGAACATCCAGTACTAACAGAACATTTTGTTTCCTCTAAAACACGGGATCTTAATGATGAACACAATTTCTCAACACTATTAATCATATCATCTTGATCAATTAAAGATGAAACATCTAATAAAGCTTCATCAACTGATACAGGGAAGATACAATCAGGTTTAAAATCAACCAAGATATTATAAAATTGTTTTGAAATTTTTTCATAAGTTGGAAAATCATAATCAAGACAAATTAAATTTGGACATAATTTTTTTGCTGATCTTACCCACATACCATTTTTAACACCAAATTTACGACAGACATAATTACAACTTGCAATATCAGCTGAAGAATTTGCCTTTTGACCACCATGAGAAACACAAACTGGTGTATTATCAAAATCAATCTCTGGATGTGATATAGCTGAAGCAGTTGCAAAGAAACAATCAAAATCAACATGCATAATAATTTTTGATTGATTTTGTTTATGATATTGAGATTTCCTTTTTTGTTCTTTTGCTTGTTCAAGTGCAACTGATGAAAATTCAGCTTTTAAATCTGCCTTCCATGTACTTAAATGATGTAATCTTGATTTAGTAAAGAAAACTTTTAAAAAATCTGGATGTTTTGCATCAATAACTTCATCAGCCATGATATCATTCACTATTGGTTCATCTTCTTTTTGTGTTAATGGGAAAACTTCTGAATCTTCAATCTCACCTTCTGAATCTTCTTTATAGTGTTTATTTTCATCTTCATCTTTATCTTCATCGTCGTCATCAACTTCTTCTTTTTCTTCCTGGGCTTGCTCTTCAAATGGTAATCTTTTTTGTCCATAATCAACTTTAATAACAGAAAAATCACTCCATTTTAATTTTTTACCCCTTTCAATACTATTTATAATCCATTCAGGTCTAACAACTTTATAATTTCTAAATTCAATTTCTTTTCTTGGTGTTAATCTAGTTGCAATAATATGAGTTGCAGAACCTTTTGAACTTAAATGATGTATAAATTTCCCACCATATTGAATAATTAATTTATGTAAAGTTTGTATACCAGGTCTAGTATGACCATTAACATGTATAATACAACCTTCAAAAATTTTAGGTAATTCAGGTGATAAACCTTGTTCAACACGTCTTTGATGATCCCAAGTTAAATATTGATCATCTTCTTCTTGTTGAGCTTTTGATTTAGCAGCCATATAAGTTCCATAATCACCAAATGCTGGTTCTTGTTCATAAACTAATGGACCATCAACCGGGATTATTTCTGGTTGTTGTTGAGCTAATTGTAATGAATGATCTTCAGATAATTTTGGACTTGATGGTAATATATCAATGTGATTATTATTTTGATTTATATCGATACCAAGATCATCATCTAATGAATTTAACAAGATATCATCATTCAAAATGTCTTCACCTTCTTTACCAGCTTGACCTTGACCTTGACCTTTACCTTGATCTTTATCTTTATCTCTCTTTTGACTTAATTTATTTATAAAATCAATCAATTCATTATCATCAAGTGAAGTTAAAAAGCTTTGATTTGATACTTGAGATACATCAAAATCATCATCTTGACTTCTTAAGTGTGCCATTTGTGATATTCATATTCCTTATTATTATAATTCGATGCCTTCTTGATGTTTGATCGTTGTTTTGTTTAATAGAAGTTTAATACTCGGAGGCAAAATAAATATTAAAGTATTTACCCGCGAATATTTCTCAACTATAAAGGCTATATAGACAATATCTACAAAATATTCAAACGCATTTAAATCATGATATAAAATCTTATAATCATAAACCAGTTATAATCATAAATATATAAAATATATAAATAGTAATATAATAATAAATAAATAAGTTAATAGAGCTTCAATAAATAATATAGCTAATAAATGTCAATTAAACTCAAGCTGCTCTACTTTTAACAGCTTTAATTAAAGATTCAACAACTTGAGGATTTGATAAAGTACTAACATCACCTAATTGATCTTCTTCACCAGCTAAAATTTTTCTTAAAATTCTTCTCATTAATTTCCCAGATCTTGTTTTTGGTAAATCATCAACCAAGATAATTAATTTTGGTGCAGCAAATGGACCAATTTCTTTACGAACAGTTAAAATTAATTCTTTTGAAATATCAGCTTCATTTTCAATTTTGGATCTATCCTTGAGTGCAACAAATGCTGCAACTGCTTGACCAGTTAATTCATCTGCATAACCAACAACGGCACTTTCTCCAACTAATGGATTTTCAATTAATGCAGCTTCAATTTCTGCAGTTGATAAACGATGACCTGAAACATTAACAACATCATCAACACGTCCTAAAATCCATATAAACCCATCAGCATCTCTTGCAGCACCATCACCTGAAAAAAAATAACCAGGATAAGGTTTTAAATAAGTTTCTTGGAAACGATCATAATTTTTCCAAATTGATCTTGCAATTGATGGCCAAGGAGATTTTATAACCAAAATACCTTCGACATTTGGACCTTTTAATTCTTCACCAGATGTTGGATCCAAAATTAATGGTTCAACACCGAAAAATGGTAATGAAGCAGAACCAGGTTTTAATGGAGTTACACCAGTTATACCAGAAATTAAATGAGAACCAGATTCAGTCATCCACCAAGTATCTAAAATTGGAATTTCAGATTTACCAATTTTTTCATAATACCATTCCCAAACTTCAGCAGCAATTGGTTCCCCTACAGAACCAAGAGTTCTTAATGAAGTTAAATCATAACCTTCAATATAAGAATCACCAGCTCTTTTCAATAATCTTAGGGCAGTTGGAGCAACATAAAATTGATTAACTTTATATTCATCAATAATTTGCCAATAACGAGAAAATGAAGGATAAGCTGGAGTACCTTCAAAAACAACAGTTGTACCACCATTTAATAAAGGACCATAAACAACATAAGTATGACCAGTGATCCAACCAATATCACCAGCAGTGAAGAATTTATCTTCTGGATGGAAATCAAAATTATATTTTAATGTAATTAAAGCATTTAATAAATAACCAGCAGTTGAATGTTGAATACCCTTTGGTGAACCTGTAGAGCCTGAAGTATATAACAAGAATAATGGATCTTCAGAATTAACAGGAGTTGGAGGGAAATAAGGACCATATTTTTTAATTTCTTCATGCCACCAAATATCTCTTTTGGAATCAAATGGAACATGATTACCAGTTCTTTTGAAAACAAGGACATTTGAAACTTGAGGACAATTTTTCAAAGCTTCATCAACGATTTTCTTAGTTTCAATAGTCTTAGAACCTCTTTTAGATTCATCTGCAGTTATAACAATCTTGGAACTCGCATCATTAATACGATCTTTTAATGAAGCAGAACTAAAACCTGCAAAAACAACAGAATGTAAAGCACCAATACGAACAATAGCTAATAAAGTAATGATAGCTTCTGGAATCATTGGTAAATAAACAGCAACAGAATCACCCTTTTCCACACCAAGACCATGTAAAATAGCTGCAACTCTCGAAACTTCTTTTAATAATTCACCATAAGTGATGATACGACCTTCATTTGGTTCATCAGCTTCATAAATAATTGCAGGTTTATTTGGATTCTTGAAAGCATGTCTATCAACAGCATTATAAGAAGCATTCAATTGACCACCAACAAACCATGAAGCAACATCATTATTTGTAAAACCAGAGTTATCATTTGGGTATTTAGCCTTATCAAAAGGTTTAATCCAATCTAAATGTTCTTTTGCTAAATTACCAAAAAAATTTTCAGGGTCTTTAATAGATTGATTATATAATTGTTCATATTCATTTATATCTTTAATATAAGGATCACCTGGTCTTTTACGATTATTTTTAGGTTGAGGAATAGGTTTGATGTTTAATAGATGAGCATTTTCTAGTACTTTTTGAGTTGATTCAGGCATTGTGAATCTGATACACTGTTTAATAGTAAGCTAAACAATCAGGTATCAATGGGAATTGACACTTTATATACACACACTCATCATCACATTAATTATTGTTGGTTAATTATTGCTGGATACCCCCACAATTCCCTCTAAGCAGTGATGACTTTGTTCTTGTCCTAAATTTGTCATTTCCATTGTTTGTCTCTGAGTCCCTTTCAGTCCCTGTCTGTGTGTCCACTGTGTGTCTCCCCTCCACAAAATATTTTATTTTAATTGAAATCCATTTGAACGAATAATTAAAAAGGGAGGAAATACCTAAAGTGGTAATATACTGTTTGTGGTAATGGTTATGTCTGTATGTGTCTTGTTTACCATACACTTCCTAACCATTTCCCAATCCGTCACTCTTTAAAAATAGAACTTCAAAACTTTAAATAATTTGTTTACGTTTCCACATTTCACTGCCCACCGCGATCTATTTTCATTAAAACAATTAATTTTTTAATTAATTATTACATTGATGGTATTATTATTTTGTTGATATTTGATTGAATTTGATTTTATCACCTTTTCACAATATCATAGAATACTTTTTTTCCATACCGCCACATCACAATCAACAGAAAACACACACATCTTTTGCTTCAAGGCTACACTATATTCCAAATCTTAGCATTCCAATATAAATCAAATCTATTCATATTAGTTTCATAAGCTTCAAGATCACAGCGCTTAACTTCAAAGATGAAAATATCCCAACTTTGGTTTCATCTACTATGTCTAATACACCTAGTGTTTGCTGAAAAACTTATTAAAACTGGTTCCCTTTTAACATGTATGCAAAATTCACAATTAACTGCATCTTATTTTGATGTTAGATTTTATCCTTCAAATAATACTGTGGAATTTGATATTAGTGCTGTTACAACTATTAGTGGTGATATTACCGCTCATGCTCAACTAATCGTTTATGGTATCAATATAATGGAACAAACAATTGATTTGTGTGATATGGGTTTTAAAGAACTGTGTCCATTAAGTGCTGGTAGAATTGTTGTTGATTCAAATTATGTCTTGGATAAAAAATATACCAAAATGATTCCTTCAGCTGCTTATACTGTCCCGGATTTAGATGCTTCTGTTAAAGTTGTTGCTTATTCAACTAATGATACAAATACCCCATTAGCTTGTGTTGAAGCTCGTTTAACTAATGGTAAAACTGTTCAAACTAAATATGCTTCATGGCCAATCGCTGCTATTTCAGGTTTAGGTTTAATCACTTCAGGTATCATTTCAATTATTGGTCATTCAAATACTGCGGCTCATATTGCTTCAAATTCAATTTCTTTATTCGTTTATTTCCAAAATTTATCAATTACTTCAATGATGGCCGTGGATAAAGTTCCACCAATTGCTTCAGCTTGGGCTCAAAATTTCGTTTGGTCAATGGGTATTATTAATGCTAAATTTATGCAAGATGCTATTAAATGGTATGTCCAAGCAACTGGTGGTAAATCAACTGTTGTTGTGGAAAATAAAGATGCTTTATCAATTTCTGTTCAAAAAAGAGATGAAAATTTCTTGGATGGTTTAATTAGACGTGCACCTCACATGGCTATGAATTTAATGAAAAGAGCAAGTGTTAGTGATACTTTTAAAGATGATAGTTTAAATGATTCGAAATTATATACAACTGATGAACATGATACTGATTCAATTACTTCAAAAATTTTAGTTTTAAGAGGTATTCAAAGAGTTTCTTATTTAGCTAATATTGAAATTTCAAACTATTTCTTAACTGGTATTGTTTTTTTCCTTTTTTTTGTCTTTATTTTAATGATTTGTTTAATGTTTTTCAAAGCAATTGTGGAATTATTAATTAGATCAAATGTTATAAAACAACATAAATTTAATGAATTTAGACAAAATTGGGCAACTATTATTAAAGGTACATTATTTAGACTGGCTTTAATTGCATTACCACAAATTTCTTTATTAACTTTATGGGAATTTACTGAACGTGATTCTGCTGCAATTGTTGTTGTTGCAGTTTTCTTATTAATTATTGTCTTTGGCTTATTACTTTATGGAGCTACAAGAGTTATTATGATTGGTAGAGAAAGTTCAAGATTATATAAAACTCCAGCTTATTTATTATTTGGTAATTTAAAAATTTTAAATAGATTTGGATTTTTATATGTTCAATTTAGAGCTGATACTTATTGGTGGTTAGTTCCTTTATTAACTTATACTATTTTACGTTCAATTTTCGTTGCTTTAATTCAAGATTATGGTAAGGCTCAAGCCCTATGTATTTTCATTATTGAATTGGTTTATTTTGTTGCATTATGTTGGAAAAGACCTTATATGGATAAAAGAACAAATGTTTTCAATATTTTAATTCATTTGGTTAATTTTTTCAATTCAATAATGTTTTTATTTTTTTCAAAATTATTTAAACAACCTGATGTTGTTTCATCAATTTGTGCTGTTGTTTTATTTGTTGTTAATGCTGTATTTGCTTTATTTTTATTAATTTTCACAATTGTTACATGTTTACTTTCATTATTATCCAAAAATCCAGATACAAGATATCAACCAATGAAAGATGATAGAGTTTCATTTATTCCAAGAACTGAAGCTATGGAAAAATCAAATAAAAAAGATACAGAATTATTAGCATTAGGTGAAACTGTTTTATCAGGTCAACAACCTCAACAATTAAATCAATCTCAACAATTAGAATCAGAATCAGATTCAGAAAATTCATTAAATCAAGGAACAAATAAATTCCCACAATCAAGAATTCCTTATGGTTCATCATCAAATTCTGGAGGATTTAATAATAGATCAAGAACAGATTCTTTAACAAGTAGTGCATATGTTGAACCATCAAGTGCAGTTATGGGTACAGGACCTCAAAATTCTTCATCAAATAATTTACAAAGACCTGGTATTTCATTTGCTGATACTACATATAAAGGAAATTCAAGATTTAATAATTCAAATGAAAATTTAAATTCAAATCCTTATGGAAGTTCAAATTCAAATCCTTATGGAAATCCATATGGTAATAGACTATGAAAACATTGAAAAAAAAAACAAAAGAACATTATCAAATTCCCCTTACCTCTCTATCATTTATACCATGATTAGTATTGTATATTAACATCATTATTTTTATAAAAACTCATATATATTGTGTCATTGAAACAAATCAATTCAATCATTTTTTATTATCATATTATCATCTAAGTTATGATAAGACAGACAAACTCTTTTTTTTTCTTCATTTCAATCGTTAATCTTAAATAATAAAAGAATAATCAAATACATACATACAATGTTGATGTTTTGGTTTTGAGGTTATTTAAAGTACGATCACATTTTGTTTATATTTGAGAATTTATATTTTACGTTTTTAAGTTTATTTAAAGGTTTGGTTAATTTGTAGATCTGAAGTTTTTAGTACGTCTAAACCTTAAACTCAATTTGAAAAGTATGTAATTTTATAACGAATATAAGCTTACACTATTAATGAATTCAGCTAATTGAAATTTATGAATATTTAATCCTTATTCATATCTATATTTATCTTCAATCTACCTCTAAAAGCTATCTATGATATAGTGATAAAATTATTTATTTACCAGCAAAAGTGTTAAACCAATATAATTGATCATATAAAGTTTTTTCTTTAGCATATTTAACAACTTCATTACTAATATCACCTCTAACAGAATAACCATGAGAAACACCACCAAAGAAATCAATTTGATAACGAGCTTTAATTTCTCTTAATTTTAATTCAGTTTCTCTTCTTAAATCATCTGTAAAGATAGAATCAACTTCTGCAGCAGAAATTAAAATTGGTTTAGTAATTTGAGAAACTTCATCAATTGAAACAAATGATGGATGAGCAATTGCACCTGCTGTAACTTTTGTTGAGTTTGTTAATTGTTGAACAACATATTTTGCACCATAACAATAACCAATTAAACCTAAGAATTTTGTATCAATATCTTTTGTTAATTCATTAATAAATGATTCAACAATTGGTCTTGTAATTTCTGAAGAATGTTTTGGTAACCAAGTACCTACAATATCAGTTTCTGGTGTACAAACATCACCTTTTAAAATATCTGGGATTAAAACATAATAACCATTCTTGGATAATTCATCAGCAATTAATAAAACATTGTTAAATTTATTACCATAAACATCAGTTAAAATGACAATAACTTTATCACTTTTTTCACCAGTAACATAAGTATTCACTATAATAATAATCAATTTTGTTAGATTTGATCACATTTCATACAAAACATATGTTACTTACAGCCATAAAGTTCAACATGTTTACCAATTGGATTACCTTCTGTTTTAAAATAGTTAGTTTCTGATCAATTTCATTACGGTTATTAACCCTTATATAAGCCAAGCTTAAAGCTTATATATAGATCACAAAATTGAAAGCATTGAGCACATACCATGGAAAGTACGTTCTAAACAACAAGCACCAGGAGCGTTAGAAGCCATATTTATTATGATTCTGCGTTGATTAATTGATTATAGTTTGATCAATTGATATCACAAATTATCAAGATTTGATTTAATCTTATATAAAATTTGAAGATTTCTTTGGAATTTCGAGAACCACAGCTCTCTCGGTCCTTAATGATTAACGTTTATGGAATTATATCCGGATCAATCATATCCAATTAAATTATTATAATCCAATGTACGGAATTCCAACTACTCTTCATTATATAAGTATTACTTAATTTGTTTATAATTAGTAAGCTCATGTTCCCATGCTCCTAGATGTTCTAGATTTTAATTTTTGACCGTTAAACCTAATTAATTTTGAGTACCAGGTACTACACTACTGTACGTACCTTCCATCACCTATTGATCCACCGGGATTCCATTGAGCGATATTATCTCAGTCATCAATAAACCGTCATCTTGCTTGGAAGTTGAAAGTCTAATTAACGGTCATGAAAACAATTGCAATTCACCACAAAATTTAAAGGTCATTGACACAATTGTTTATTCACTCTGGACAAATTTCGATTGAATGGATCTTGTGCTGTCTTGCTTTAAGCTCCTGACTGGGAGTGTGGAAGCGGTATATTGATCGGTGGCCGAATTAGTGTAATTCCCATTTTATTATAACGTATATTATACGAAGAGACTAAGACTAAAGTATAAAGATCATCCCAATTAACGTCGGTGTTTCAATTTAGTTGACATACACTTCTCGCGATACAATATACTCTATAATTTATTATTAAAGTCTAACCTAATTTATACACCACAAAATTTTTGATTCCCAAATATACTTTGATGAAAAACATTAGCCCATGTTATCGGTAGACATTCTGGTACTGATTCCTTGTTTTCAGCCTTTGAAGGAACTTTATCTGTATGTTCTTGAGAGTCTGAATTCTTTGGTGTAGCATCTTGAACTTGCTTCAATGTTATGGTACTCTCATCTTCATTTATTGGTTCATCACTATTTTTAGTTTTGAATACTTTCTTGATTTTTTTCCCATTCTTATCTGTTTCTCTTTGTACATGTCTTGAAGCTTGTGAAATAACAAAAGTATTTGAATTATCTTTAACTTTCTTTCTTTCATTCTTAACTTTCAATCTATCACTCAATTTTTCAGAAAGATCATCCAATTTGGCAGCATCCCATTCATGATGATTAACTTTAGCAGCATCTCTTGGTTGAAGTTTGTTCTTATGCTGTTTTAATTTAGAAAGAACTTGTGAATATCCTTTTGCTCTTGGACTATATGTATCAGTGCTTTTTGTGGCATCATCATCATTATCTTTGATAATAGAAAGTGGTAAAGTCAACTCTTGAAATTTTGCACTATTCTTAACCTTCTGTAATAAAGAACCACCTGCTCCACCTCGTTTTTCAAGACCTAAAGATTCTTCAACTTTATCGCCACCAGTGTATAATGCAAACTTAATTTGTTCATCATCTGAATCATCTGAAATAAAATGTCTTTTCTCAACACCATTATCCTTTTTTAATCCATTGTATGCTGGAAATAAAACCAAGTTATTCATATCTTCTTTGACTTTAATACAATAGCTATTGCTTGAGCTTTGAACGTTAACTGTACAGAAAATTGAATGAACCAATTGTGAATATCCAACAGAACCAATCCATTCTCTTGCAAATATGTCAAAAAACAGACTAAAATCACTAGCAATATAGTTTTTAACTTTTAACAATGGTAAATTATGTTCTTTGGCATCAAAAGCATTACTTCCTGTGTTGAAAATTAAAGCCAATAATGGAATTTGTTCATCTAAAGCTTGTTTATAAAGCGGTAACATATATTTTGGAACCAATAACATATCATCGTGTAAAAGCTTAATATCAAACTTCTTTGGTGCGTTTATAACCAAGCAAAAATCTGTGAATTCAGAAAATTCAGGTAAATCAAATGGAGTCGAATGATCAATGAAATTTGAATATTCAACTCTTGTCTTTTGAATTGGAATATTGAGTGGATCAGTTGTATTGAAAATGAAAAAAGGTCTTGTCTTTTCAGGAACTAAGATTTCTAAACTTGAATCAAATTCTCTATTGGACAACTTCAATTTTTTAGCATGTTTAACATAATCTCTGAATCCTAATCCATTCATGGTTCTTTCATTTATATGGTGTCTTGGAATAATCAAAACTTTGTCATCATTATCATTTTCAGCGACTAAAGATACATCAATCTTATTCAATACCATAAGAGATCTCAATTCTCTTTCCAAAACACTTGATACATTATTGATACTGAAAAACTCAGAATTAGCTGTTGAATGAACAAGTTGGGCATCTGGTGATTTGACTGGAAGTGATAAAGTCAATGATGCAAATGCAATAAGCAGTATAAAACCCTTAAAGATCATCCTTGCAATAATATATGTAAGCAAAATTTAGTTCTTGATCTTAGTAATAGCTATAAATGGATGATTTGCTGATAAGTCCTTCAAATCAATAGTAAAGAAATCTTAATCATGTTCAGTTAAAGATATATTTTGATTGAGATCGAAATAGTTTTTGTGTACATCATTTGACACAAAACCAGAAATAAGCTGACTTTAAAACTTTTTAGGGGCATAGCAACCAAAAATAAAGTAGATATATCTGTACAGTCACCAATTACTATTAATCGTAGCATCCTCAGAACGAATTAGTTATGGGAGATTGATTTCCTAAGTAAAGCATTAACATTTCTTTAACCGCCTCCAATCAATATAGCTTATAAAACACCATTAACCATCGGATTCACTTCGTAAAAGTCAACATTTCTCAGCCACTGATCAGCCCATTTATGCGCCTATTTGACATCTCATTACATAGGACTTGACCAACTTGTTTCCTCCTTGGTATAACTGGTGTCAATAAATAAACTTGATGAACTTTACCGCGCTTACTATGATAATAATAAATACCAAATTTTTACCCGGTGAATTTTTGGCCCAGGGTTTTCGCGATTGCAAAAATAATCGTATAACGAAATAACACAAACATTTAATTAACTACTGACATCTCAATCCAAACGCTATACCCACCAATGCTTAGACAAAGTATAAGAAGAAGTGCCGCTCCATTGAGCAAGATTACTAGATCAGCTCCATCAACTCAATTGAGATGCTTATCCGATCTTTCAAATGATCAAAAAACAACACATTTCGGTTCAAAAACTGTCCTTGAATCTGAAAAAGAGAAATTAGTTGGTCAAGTCTTTTCTTCTGTTGCTTCTAAATATGATATAATGAATGATGTGATGAGTTTAGGTGTCCATAGATTGTGGAAAGATCATTTCATAAGAAAATTAGACGCCGGTGCAAGACCGGGCGGTAGACCTTTAGATTTCATTGATGTTGCTGGTGGTAGTGGTGATATTGCTTTTGGTCTATTGGATCATGCTAAAGCTCGTTTCCAAGATGACAAGTCTACAATGACAGTTGTTGATATTAATCCAGATATGTTGAAAGAAGGTGAGAAAAGATTGTTAGATACTAAATATAAAAATGATGATAGAATTTCATTTTTAGTACAAAATGGTGAAGTTTTAGATCAAATAGAAGATAACAGTAAAGATGTTTATACCGTTTCATTTGGTATTAGAAATTTCACAAACATTCAAGCGGGTTTGAATACAGCATATAGAGTTTTAAAACCAGGTGGAATAATTGGTATTTTGGAATTTTCAAAAGTTGATAATACTGTTGTTGATTTAGCTTATCAAAATTGGTCAAAATTCTTACCAGTTTTCGGTCAAGCTATTGCAAATGATTTTGATTCATATCAATATTTAGTCGAATCTATTCAAAAATTCCCAAAACAAGAAGATTTCAAATCAATGATTCAAGAAGCTGGTTTTTACGTTCCTGAACCTGGTTATGAAAACTTAACATTTGGTGTTGCCGCTATTCATATTGGTATTAAATTATGAGTTATTTGGCAATGATTTGTATATAGAATATTTAAGTAATAAAAGTATGATCTGGTTATGAAATTAACAAAAATCGTACTTTTAAATACTAAATTGTTAAATTCAATCATTTATAGTAAATTATATAATCCGTGATTATTTTTCCGCGGCCGAACAAATACATTAATTCATATACTTTAACAGAACACCAGTTCTATGATAATTATCAATCGTCTCAATCTCAGTCAATCACGCTCATTCCAGTCTTCAAAATGCAAGATACGTTCCATCAAAGTCTTAATAACATTGTGAAAATTCTCAAATCTGCTCCTGGGTCCATAACGATACAAAACATTCAAAGATTATCAAATGTTTACAAGTTTGAAACTTTTATAGAAAACATTGATGATAAAATCAAAAGACTTTCAATTGCTGGTAAGATTTTGGTTATAGATATTGACTATGAAGAATTGGCAAATAAGACCAAAGACCAAACCAAATTTGAATTGAAGGATGTTAAATTAATTCTTGCGAACAATAACAATGATTTTAAATACACTTCAAGTGTCAATGGTGAAAACATTTTGAACAATGTATTGGCAAAATATTCAAATTTTGCTCAGTTTGATAAAGCCCTAGAGACATTAGCAGTTTTTGATCAATATAGTAATGATGATTTTGATTTGTTTCACTATTATATTCAAATTTATGAAGATTTGAAAAAATTAACCAAAATAAAAGTTGAATTGAATGTTAATGATGAATTTGCTATTGTTGTTGAAGATCAATATAAAATAACTTTGGTTAATGATGAAAGACTATGTATTGTTAAAAATGATCATAATGGTGATCAATGGAATCAACAACATGATACAAAAATTAATGACGTGGGAATCAAAATCGAAATATTGAATGGATTCAGAATTCCAATAAGTAGAAATACTTTATTACAAAATAATTTGGTTTTTGATCAAAATGTAAAACCAATATCTTTTTTCAATAATGATGATGTTTTCAAATCCAAAACTCAATCTAATTTTACTTTACAAGGTTTCCAATTTTTAGAAAGTGAAGTTTTATCAATCTCTGAAGTTTCAACTAATGATATCAAATCAGTAATTATTACTCTTGAAGAGTTAATTAAATTCAACAAACTCAATAAAGTAATCTCTGAGTTAAAAGAAAAATTTGAACTAATTGATAAGTTTGCCAATTTAGAAGAAGATGTTAGACTGAATGATTTCATAAGTGAAAATCAAGACTCAATTGAAGTTGAACAAAAATTCATAACTATCAGCTTAAAACAAACAAGCATTGAAATAAGGAGTGATAATTCAGATTATAATTTCACCATACCATGGTCTAATGAGGATGGATTTGATCAAGGTTTAGAAAAGTTGAAAAGATTATTAACAGCTTGAAATAATTATGTATGACTGTTTTAAATTAATGACATGAAGACCTTTACTTGACTCAACCTAGCTAAATGGTGAAAATTTCATAAAATTCAATAATTGAAGTAAAATCGAACCGATAGTAGCAAACTAGGAACAATATAATATCGTAGAAGTCTGCATGATCTGAAATCGACTTTTAACGTCGATTATACTACCGGCCAAATGATCATACCTTGCAGTTATGTTTGAGCTAGTAGCTCTTCAATTTGTTTGTCAAAATATCAAAAGAGCCTTCATGCTAGCTGGCTATTAAAGTTATCTGAACGCCTGAGCATATATATTATATATGCTAAGTTGCCCAAATGAGGTACGAATTCTATTATGACGTTAGACTTTCACATCAAGGCAAAACCCTTAGCCATGTCGAAAGATCTAGTATTTTAAGGTTAAAAACTAAATTACAAATAATATACCTCATGATTCAGTATTAAATTTTGGCGTTCTGGTGGTATAAATTAAGAATTATCTATGAAAAGTTGATCTGGATCATATTGGAGCGTATATAGCTTATATGATATATCCGGTCATCAACCCGGATGAACTAAAAATCAATTTAGGGATCTGCTAATTTAACGACGCGTTACGTGATTCCGATCGACTCAAAAAAAAAGTATGGCCTTCGTCTTCGATAAAATGAGCCATGGTGATTCGTGAACGGTGAGATACAATAATATATATAAGCCGAAAGCTAGGTCATATATAATCTGTGATCTTTAATTGCAAAGTTAGTCGACAAACGATGGTAGTATTATGTATACTTTTATAAATGAAACGTCTCCGTTTAAATATCGCGGTGAGACGATTCAACGCAAATATATCAAAGTGGAGGTACATGGTACATACAAATTAGTAATTGATATAATATATACAGCTATAGAAGAAACATGATTTCCATTGCAAACTTTACAAATGATTTAGACAATTTACCTCTGGGTTTTTGATCGGTTCCTAAATTATTCTAAATTCCCAAATTCCGCTAGACGTCGACGGTCGTACAGTTTACAATGCATCTTACGTCTTGCTTAACGGTAGTTATAAGCAGTTACTAGTTACAGGTTACAAAGTTCAAACAACTTGCAACTTGCTAGCTGTTAGTGAAGTCAGGTTACTTCAACAATTTTTTACTACTTTGGAAATTGGCTCTTATACTTTCATTTTATCTTTTAAATGAATAAAAGGTCTTGGCATGTCTCATTTTAGTCCTAGTCAACTGACAAATTACAATTGTAGAGTCTTCATGAACTTAACGTAGTTCTCATGTCTTTATTTCTAACCGTAACTTTAAAAACCAGCCTATAAAGGGGGACAACTTGACAACCAAATTTAAACTAGGGGCCGCTGCGCGCATTGCAAATTGCAATTTGCGAACAGCGTGGCCCTTTAAAAAATTCTGTTTTGCCAAGAGTTTTGGTAAATGCTTGGCGTGCGTGTTGTCCATCTGTTAATTAAGTGGCCCGTTCAAACTTCAGCTCCATCCAGATTCCACAATCTAAAACGCCAAGACATGATCTCAAACTTGGTAATTTAAAATTGGGCGTCTTGGAAATTCGCAAATCTTCACGATGTGGTGATGTGGGTATAGGCTTTAAAAAAAACACTTAACTAACCCTAAAACAAGGGTTTGCTTTAATCAAATAAGGCTATCTTTAACAATCATCTTCAAAGATAATATGCATTCATCAATGAGAAGGACTATTTGAACTTTACTGCACTTCTTCTATCTTTCCTGCACTAATGAACACGAGTTTTATCAGGGAGGGTCCTCCTTAACATCATTATATAATAAAGCTACTAGGTACAGTTTTTAACACGTATAATAATATAACCACAATTATTCATCCGGATTTAGGTCGAAGATTAGATATGCTAATTCCATGATGATCAAATCGAATTTGTTGGGATAAGGACATCGTAGGGATTTTGCTACACCGACATGTTAACATATCAAGCGGTTATAAAGGTTTGAAAGGATCTCTAAAGTCTCAAGTTCAACAATGAACCACGCCCGAAATAATATCAACAGGCCAAGGCTCCCCAAGGGGCCAGTTCGCCACTAGTAGAAAAGTCAAATATATATAGAACATGTTACTTGGCCATCTTGCCCCCCTCAGCCTTATATTTTGGGTTCACGACTCCCGAGTACTATATAATTACTCCGTATTCCCCTTGATTGAAAATTATTGTTCCAATGTGAGTCGTGACTGACTCTTCTGGCTCCTAGTTTTTAAATTTTGACTGTCAACTTGTCAATCTTTATTACGTTTTTCGATTGTGATATCTTTTTGTTTCTTTGGATAACGCACAACTCGCAGCGCAGCTCGCAAAAAACTTTAGGCAAAAAAAAGCTTGTGGTCAAGAAAACTGCAATTGTCTGAAAATTGAAAATTCTTCTCCTAAAATTGAATTCTGAATTATCAACAAAAACGAAAAACCGACTTTTGACTTTTTCTTCCTTTCCCAATCACAACAATCAACTTCAACGAAAACTGAACGTCAACGATCATTCGTCAATTCAACACAGCGCTTCAATTGTCAAAGAATTTTATACACAGCGCTTGAGTCTAGACATCTGCTATTTATATCAAAGAGGCTATCAAGAACAAATCTTGCTATCATTTTTATAGATTCTTTGGTACAATCCCGTTATTATTGTGTGTTTTTCGCTCAATTGTCCAACCAACTCACACCATTACACAAAACATAAACTTGTCAACAACAGCAAATTCATTTATACTATAATTGATTATTGACTTCGAGGTTCATCGCTGATATTTCTCTGATTATACATTTCTGTTTAACGGGAATTTCCTCATTGTGTCAAGCTTTAGATCTCAAAATCAAAAAAATAAGATAGATCAAAATTGGTACCTGGTCTCATCAGTTTCCCAAGAACAGTAAATAACATTCTTGTATTATAATCAAACAACCACAAATGGCTACTCAACAACCAGTTGCTGGATTGGTTCCACAACAAATTCCAAGACAAGTTACTCATGCTCAACCTGTTGTTCAATCACAAGCCCAAGCTCAAGCTCAAGTGGCACAAGTATCATCTCAAGAACAAGATTTAAATAACGCCACTGCTGAAACATGGTTAGCTATTGGTTCATTTGCAGAATCATTAGGTGATGCCGATAGGGCTGCTGCTGCTTATGATGCTACTTTGAGACATGCTCCAAATTCAGCACCAGCTTTAACTTCTTTAGCTAATTTATACAGAGCTCGTGATATGTTTGCAAAAGCTGCAGAATTATACCAGCGTGCTTTAACTTCTAAACCAGATGAAGGTGAAACCTGGGGTTTACTAGGGCATTGTTATTTAATGCTGGATGATTTACAAAGAGCATATGCTGCTTATCAACAAGCCTTGTATCATTTAAGTAATCCAAATGTTCCAAAATTATGGCATGGTATTGGTATACTTTATGATAGATATGGCTCACTGGAATACGCAGAAGAAGCTTTTGGTAGAGTTTTAGAATTAGATCCAAATTTTGAAAAAGCAAGTGAAATTTATTTTAGATTGGGTATTATTTATAAACATGAAGGTAAATTACCTCAAGCTTTGGAGTGTTTTAGATACATCTTGCCAAATCCGCCAGCCCCTTTGACACAACCAGATGTTTGGTTTCAAATCGGTGCTGTTTTAGAGCAACAGCGTGACTATAATGGTGCAAAAGATGCTTATCAAAAAGTATTAGAAGCAAATCCAAAACATGCAAAAGTATTACAACAACTTGGTTGTTTGTATTCTCAACAAGGTTCCAATTTTATAGATCCAGAAATAGCTTTGAGATTATTAAGTCAATCACTAGAAATTGATCCAAGTGATGCACATTCCTGGTATCACCTTGGTAGAGTACATATGTCAAGAGGTGATTATACTTCAGCTTATGACGCTTTTCAACAAGCTGTTAACAGAGATGCAAGAAACCCAACTTTCTGGTGCTCAATTGGTGTTTTATATTATCAAATTTCACAATACAGAGATGCACTGGATGCGTATACAAGAGCTATAAGATTGAATCCATATATTAGTGAAGTCTGGTACGACTTGGGTACATTGTATGAAACATGTAACAATCAAATCAGTGATGCTTTGGATGCTTATAAACAAGCTGCTACTTTGGATCCAAACAATCCACATATTCAAGCAAGATTAGATCAACTAACAAAATTCCAAAAAGAAGGGGGTTCAAATGGTAATTTACCACCTCCACCACCACCATCTCAACAACCAAGATTACCTCAAGGTATGCTACCGCAACATCAACAACCTGGTCAACAACAACCTGGTCAACCACCAGTTCCTGGCCAACAACAACCTGTATTACAACAATTACAACTAAATCCTCAACAACAGCAACAACAGCAGTTTCAACAACAGCAACAATACCAATATCAACAACAACAAGCTCAGCAACAAGCCCAAGCTCAACAACAACAACAACAACAACAACAACAACAACAACAACAACAACAGGCTCAAGCCCAACAACAAGCACAACAACAGCATGCTCAGCAACAAGCCCTACAACAACAGCAAGCTCAACAACAACAGCAGCAACAACAACAACTACAACAACAACAAGCAAAAGAAGCGGAAGCCATTAGAGCATCAACTCAACAACCAAAACAACCAGAGATTGTTTCTGCTCAACCAGACCAAACTAGATCTCAAAGTCCTAATGGATCAAAACAATCGGATTCTAATTTTCAAAAAGGTGTACCATCTAAACGTGAACTAGAAGATCCAGCTCAGGGTTCTAGAAAGGTTAAAAAAGCAAACAACAATGAAATCACAAGTAATGAACACTCAATCAAAAGATCAAACATAAATTCATTGGTTGATGCCCCTTCTAATGGTACTGAATCACCTGCTCCAACACCAGCTGAACAAATTAAAGTGGCCGAAGAAACACAAAAACCAACTGAAGTTCAACAACAACAAACTGAAGACGCAGTTTCAAAGGCCAAAGAACAAACACCAGCCCAAACTGAAGAACCAAAAACTGAATCTGTGCCTGCTTCTGAAAATAAAGATTCTACCCCTGTTGAAGAATCTAAAAGTGCCGCTGAGTCAACTACTGATACCAAAGTAAGTGCTGATGCTGTTGCTGAAAAAGAAGCCGCTGTTGATCCAAAAGAAGATCTACCTGAAAAATCTGAAGAAACTAAAGAACCAGAAACTAATGGTAAAGCTGAAGAATCATCCGAGCCAAAACCTGTCGGTGATGATAAGAAAGAAGAAGAAAAAGAGGTAACTATTAAACCATCTGAGGAGGCCATCGAAAAGATTAAAGAAGATCAACAAGCCCAAGATGAAGAACCTTCAACCTCAGACGAGCCTAAGAAGGAGGAACAAAAAGTTGAAACAAGAAAAATCGAAGAAGATGATGATTATGATGATGATGACGATGATGCAAAACCAAATGGTCAAGAATCATAATTAACCAGTTTAATATCGTTTCAATTAGTTAATTATTCACTCCTTTAGTGTGTCCATGATGAATATTCGTGTTTCATATTTATGATCAGCCATGACTATATTTTCCCTGATTTTGTGATTTTTATGTGTGTCTATGTTTTGAAGTTTCAATTACGTTTTATTTAAAAGAGTTTACGCTGTCGTGTATAATTAATGAAATATGTATTATAATCAGATTGTAGATGGTAAATTTTAAAATACAGATATGCAAGTTTGTTTGTTTTTTTGTATTATGCTAATTGTGTGGTAAATTACACTTCCTTTTCAACTATGCCTTCTAAAAATGTTTTGATCTGTGCCAAAGTTTCATTTCTCACATTTTCCGGTACCATAGCTTATAAATTTGTTAGTTTATAAGATTTGTCTGTTGGGAAAGATTGACTTACCTAAAGCTTTTGGTTCAAGCTGTTGATTTAATTTTGTAAAATTTAAACTATCCTCATGACTTATTTGCTCTGAATTTCTAAATTAGTTTCCCATCATAACTCATATTGACTTCATTTATCAACTTACGGCTAGCAATGTTCTTTATGTTATCGTACCATCCTGACTCTGCTAATTTTTGCTTTAGTGATGTCGATATACTAAAGTTTTATTGTGTTAATGAAGTTCAATAATCATGAAATCTAAAGTTTTTACTAACCGATCGTATTCACCTGATTCTATGAGTTTTTCTTGTATTTTTGATTTGAGTATTTCTGTTTCATTAGACATTCTGTTGGGAATATAATATAACGATTTTGTTGGGGTGATAGAAGATCTTATCAGTTTGTTGCTTTGATGAGTTTGATTGAGCTTTGTGCAGAGAAGATGTTTATTTTCGTTGAAGGGTAATAATTCTGGTACACGCCACGCCAGGCAAATCTATAACCCATAAAGCGAATAAGTGCAAACTTCGAAACAGTAGTAGAAAAAAACAAAAAGCAAACAAATACGCTTCAATTCTTTCACTTCATTGGTATCAATTGACACCAAATCAATTCAAAGAATAATTGTATGCTCAGATATATCAAGTTTAACAAGTCTAACCTTTCAAAAGTCTCTCTTGCTAAAACATTAATCTCAAGATCTAACATCACTACAATGGTTGCACCAAAAGAATCTCCAGAAAAGGCTAAAATTATCAAGACTGAACCATTGGCTTCCGAAGACGCCAAGTGGACAAAGCTTGAAAGAATCACATATGCTGATCCAACTGGAAAAGAACGTTTATGGGAAAGTGCTTCAAGATCAACTAGACCTCAATGTTCTGAAGTTGATGCAGTTGCAATTATTGCAATTCTTGAAAAACCAGAAGGTCCAGAAATTGTTTTACAAAGACAATTTAGACCTCCAACTGGTGGTGTTTGTATTGAAGTTCCAGCTGGCTTAGTGGATCCAAATGAATCAATTGAAACTACTGCCTTACGTGAATTGAAGGAAGAAACAGGTTACATTGGTAAAGTCATCTCTAGATCTCCTGTTATTTTCAATGATCCAGGTTTCTGCTCAACTAATCTATCATTAGTTACAACCTCTGTTGATTTGAATGACGAAAGAAATAAAAATCCACAACCTGAATTAGAAGATGGTGAATTTATTGAGACATTTTCTGTACCAATTAAAAATTTTGATGAACAATTAAAAAAACTTCATGATCAAGGTTATAAAATAGATTCAAGAGTTCAAAATATTGCTGAAGGTATCAAAATTGCTCAGCAATTTAGACTATGAATTTTAATGATTGATGTTTTTAAAATATATGATATGTAAAATTGGACGTAATAATTGTGCGCATAATGTAAACTGATATACCACAATAATTATGAGGTATTTGGTCATGATATGTATACACATATATATATGATAGATTATACTATTCAGTGTCATTTTAAAATAATTCAAAATGGTTAAAATATAACAAAATCTAATACTTAATACCCTCAATTGTTTCATGGATAACAAAATACTGATTAAATATTTCACAAAGAAACCGTTTCATCATAGATAGAGCTAGAGCGATCCTTATTACTTATTATTATGCTTAATTTTTTCATTAATGAGTACAATTGGATCCTGAATATATATATAATATTAGAGAACTTTAATGAGTTCAACTCGTAACTCTTAAATATATCCCTAAATTTAATATAAAATGCGTCATACGTCATACGTTCTGAGAAGTCTGTACTTCTGTTCAATTAATCTCCCTTATCAATAAGTTAATTCCTTATGTAGTTTATGTCTTTCGGAATCAATCATGAATGGTATTTTTTCAATTGTAAATTCTTATCTACCAATATCTAGCCTTGATGGGATTATCTTCTGTTTGAAAATCTGTTTTCAACGTGTTGATAACATCAATATCCGTTGAAAGCTTGACTATATCTAATATCATTATTTAATGAAGATTGGAATACTTCATTGTATATTTTTCTTTATAAATTTGACTTATCTTCACAGATTAGAAAAAAATTGGTTTGAGCCACAAAAAATAACGACAACTGCAGGACTCGAACCTGCGCGGGAAAATCCCAAAAGATATCCTGAGGAGAAGACCCGAAGGTCAATTCATTCAAGTCTTTCGCCTTAACCACTCGGCCAAATTGCCTTAATTGTGTTATT